CTTGTGGCATATAGTAGTTTAGAAAGTTTAGCGTCCTTTTTCTTTTGTAGAGAAGCAAAGTGTGCATTGTAAATGGCTTGTCTAGTTTTAGTAAAGTCCAGCCATGAGGAAGTTTGTGTGGAAGGTTGGTTTCTTATGAGAGTATCCATTTTTGAGAGCTCATTCTTAATCTTTCCCTGTTTGCTGTAGAGGATGTTGATCAGGTGATTCCACAGTTTCTTTGAGAGCGTGTGGCACAAGCTGTCAGCATAGTCTGTGTGGTATGTAGATTGTAATGGATTTTTTACCTTCAGTCCTTTTGGTACGATGTCCAGACGTTTTTCAAACCCACCTGCCTGGGGTATGGCAGCCCCGAGAGCCCTTCATGCAACGAGATTAGGGCTGCCAGGGTGGGCCATGCACCTGTTGGAGTCGCAGCAAATACTGTCAGCTGGGCTGTGTGCTGTCAAAGCCAACTCATCCCTGGGCACAAAAGTGTCCATTCAGCAGCATAGCTGTGTCTCCAGCGCCTGGGATTGTCAGGGCCGTAGGCAGGCGTGGCCAGTCCAATACCAGTGTGCCAGGAGGGAGTCTGTGAGAAGCCAAGTTGTGCTGTGACCACCAGCAGCCTCACCCCAACACCCCGCAGGCCTGGGCACATGGCACCAGGGATCCGAACAGCCCTGAAATCCCCGAGCACGTCTCACTAGGGAGCCCAGTTTGCTTCTCAATCTGCCCCCAACACTGGGGCAGGGCCACATTCAAAACCCAGCCCTGGGTGAAAGCCACGCTTTGCGGATGGCCACTGTAGTTATCATGGGTTGTGCCAAAGCCCAGGGCTGAGCAGCCTGCAGTGATGGGGTGTCCAAACGCCAGGGCAGCCCTGCTGGGCAGAGCGCCCCATTCTACAATGAGGTGATAAACAAGCCAGACCCCTGCCAGCCCTCCCCTCTCTCCTCTTTACAAAAATAGGGGCATGTTAGCATTCCCATTTCACACGCAGGGAGGCTGAGCCATTTAAGCCACCTGCACACGTAGCAGGGTGCTGGGGATAGATCCCCAGGCGTCCTAATTCCCTGACCTGTGCTCTAGCCGCTGCCTCATCACTGATCAGTTAGAATGAATACTAAAGAATTACAAAGTCTTCCGAGTTTCTCCTCGCTGTCGTGGGGCAGGGCAGGCGCTGGGGGGCAGCATTCAAAGGAGTGGGTTGGAGGAGCGCTAGTTTGGCTGTTGGATGGCACTGGAAGTGCCCCTGGGCTACTGCACACACAACTAATCCTCACGCAGGGCAGGCATGGCAGTGACAGGGCAAGGGATGCAGGTGGCAGAATGTCATCGTCCGGGTGGGTGTTTGGCTGGGACGCCAGGACAGACACTTGCAGAAAGGGCCATGGGGCAAGACGTACTCAGGCCCTCAGCTTTCTGCCTAGACAGCACCCCAATAAACACAGCCCCACTGTGGGACACTGGCTCAAGGGAAGAGCGCCCCCCCCCACCAGCACCGCATTTTCTTTGGCTTGGCGTTTCCATTCCATGGCCCAGCACAGGCCTACATCCCTGGTGTGCGTTAGCAAGTGCCCAGCCCGAGGTGCCAGCAGCATTACAAGCCTCAGTGTGCTTTGTCAAGGAGCTCTGTTCACCCAGCACACCCTGTTCCTGGGCAGTGAGCAGGGTGGGATCTGCCAAAGGGCAGCACTTCCTGGCATCTCTGCAGGCTGGGCCCAAGAGCACAGCTAGCTGAGCCTGCGCCTTGCCACCCTCTCCCTGCCCATCCCAGGTGCACGCCCAGCACGCCCACAGGCAGGCGCGGTGGAGAAGGGGGCTCTGCAGGCGGGGGCACTCAGCTGTGCTGCATTACCCCTTACGGGCCAGCAGCAGCACCCCAGGGCGCCGGGGGGAGTTCAGCAGAGAGGATCCGGAGGACACCCACCTGGAGCGGGCGGCTGAGCACTGCCCCAGAGGGAGCACCGATGGACCAGCCGCAAGGCGGAGGGGTGCGCCAGCTAGGGCCAAGGAAGGGCAGCAGAGAGCGGCAAGGGGAAGGAGGGCTCCTCGCAGAGGCCAGAGGGTGACTTGACAGGGCCGGTATACACAGGTGCCCTGATGGGAAGCCTGCCTGCACCCCTGGAAGGGGCAGAGGGGGTAGCATCAGCTCTCACCTCGAGGCTCTGCTGATTCTCAACCCTCTCTGGCAGGGACTGTGCTCTGCCTGGGGCACAGTGTGACACAGGCAGCCCAGACGTAGGGGCTTTAAACCCTCGGGATTCTGGGCTCATGGAGGGTCCCACACAGCTGTCTGGAGCTGCCCAGCCCTCTGCCTACACCAGAGCAATTCTCCTGGCCCCTCACAAGCTGTCTCTGGCCCCTGCACCCCAGCAGCATGTCAGGGCTGGAGCAGAGACCCAATCCCTCCCCTTGCCACCTGCACCCCTAGACACCCCTTGTGCCCCAGAGAGACTCAGCTCCAGTCATGGCACCTCCCAGTCCCTCTGCTCAGCTGCCCTTGTGCATGAAGCCTCACGACCTGATCTCTTTATTCAGCAGAATGTCTAGAGGATGGACATGCTTCCCTGGGGCAGACAGCAGGTCAAAACCCAGCTCCCTGCCTTCAGTCACCATTGCTCTTGGCCCAAGCGTCCTTGAACCCGAGCCTCCTCCTCCTCCCGCTCATCAACTTCTCTCCACCTCCACAGCACTGCCTGCCTCCATCTCCCCTGGCCTTAACGAGTGCAGGGTCCATTCGACAGTCTCACTGCTGTAGACTCCAGTGTCCCCAGAACACACCTGACTCTGGTCTCCCGCGGGGAGGAGAGCTGGAAAGGGAGGGACGCGTAGGAAGGCAAAGGATAAAAACACAGTGACCCAGGTGGGCTGCCCAGAAGGGAACACACAGCCATTGCCAGTTCTTTGTGAAAATGCCTGGGGAGCCGGGAAAGACCAGGAGCCTGGAGAAAAAAGGCCAACATGGCAGCTACCTTCAGCCCGGTAAGAAAGGCGAGCCCGGCACTCACTGGCTAGAGACCCCACTTTGAAATCAAACAGCAGCGCTGACAGGAACCCAGCTGTCATTATTTGGAGGCCAGCAGCACCGTGTGGAATAAGCAGCTCGAGTTTTATGGCAACCAAACCCTGCCAGACAAGCCCGCCTGCCGTTTCTGGTGGCATTCCAGCGCGAGCAGATGAAGGCAGCAGGGGAGAGGGACGTGCGGCTTCTGCTGGAGCAGTTGGTGCAGCGCCTGACAACACCGTGCCCCCAAAGGGGCCTGCATCCCGCCGCGGCTGCGGCAGGTGACACTAAGCGGCGGTGCAGCCCATGGTTGGGAAAGGGCTAGTGGGGCTCCCTGGAGCCAGCCCCAGCTCTGGACACAGTTAGTGCATCACTCATGAGCCGGGGGAGGCAGTAACAGGGCATTGGAGCTATTCGCTGATTGTTCCACGCCAGCCTCATAGAGACAGCAGCCTTAGGGCAACCACCAAGCCCCAGACTGTGAAAATCTCCCCTCACCCAGTGCCTCTCCCTTCAGCCTGGCAGGCAGCACAGGCCAGGAGCCAGGGCTGAGTCAGGAGACCTGGGTTCTAATCCCCGGCTCCTAGTCAGAAGGAGATTTTAGGCCCATTGGACCCTGGGGTAGCAGCTGCGTTTGGGAGTGAAAGCGAGTGCCTGGTGCTGAACAGAGGCAATAAAGAAGGTTTGTTGGCGAAGGAGACTCTGCCCAGGTACCCGGTCGCCTTGCTGCTGGTATTGGAGGCTCTGCTGCAGGGGGAAGCACTCCCGACAGTCCCCAATGCCCCCTGGCCCTTCCTGGAGTGGCCCAGGCTCAGCCCCCAGCGGGGGCGACACGGCCGAGGTCAGTGTCTGGATGAGCCCTTTGGGCTCCTTGTCCTGCCCTGGCCAGGCATCTGAACCATCACACAATCCCAGGCAAGGGTGGGCTGGGATCACTGCCGGGGCGCTGGAGCCAGCCCCTCCAGGACATGGGTGGCACCAGGCCAGGCTCCAGTGTGTTTAAAGAGCTGGGCTGATAGATGTGGCCTAGCAACGTCTCACACCCACATTAAGACTTTTTGTGCAGCTGCAGGGCAACGTTGGGGCCACGGTGACCCGGGCCACGAGCCTGAGGTGACTCTTTGGCTGGCCCCCCGCTCTGAGATGCACTCCCCTCGCCGCAGTAGGGTAGCATGCTTCCAGTTCAGCCACTCCAGGGTACTGGCAGAGCGGCTCAGCATCACTGTTGGGCTGCAGCCCTGCCCCCCCGCCCCATGAGCTCACAGGACAGGGCGACAGTGCTGTTTCCCAAGGCCTCGCTGTAGTGCTCCTGCCCTGCTGTAAGTGCCCCGTCAATCCCCAGCACGGGGGCAGGCATTGCCCCAGCAGAGCACATGGGTTCACTCAGGGCCAGGTGCCGGGGATACCCCTGGGGGGTGGGCAGGAACCCCAGTCACACCCTCTCTCACTCCATGGCAGTGCAGTCTGCTCTCAGGGTCGACACCGCTGCTGGGCTGGGCCCCTCCCCAGGCTGGGCCAGACTGGCACAGCAGCCCATGCGCCAAGGGCTAGGCCAGAGGATGCCGAAGTCCCACTGGGCCAAACAGGCCGGGGAGATCGTCCCCAATCCACCAGCCCCTGCAGCACTCCAGGCCACGTCTGGCTCCAGGTGCCAACTCTCTCCCGTCCCCTCCCTGGGGCAGGGCAGCAAGGTTCGAACTGACAAGGCCTGGACTCTAATACCAGGCCCAGCCACTGTACCCTGAACTGCAGGGGGAATGCTGCCGGGTGGGGGGGCATAGAGGGTGGCAACCACTCACCAGGAGGCCTCTGCCCCTCGTGGCCCTTTGCAGGAGGCACCAGGGCAGGACAGGATGGCGCTGGACAACACGACTGCTCTGTGGCCCCTGGCCAGGCTGTGCCAAGCCCCCTCTGGGTCCCACCCATCGCACCCCCTGTGCCGATTTCCATAAGGGGCAGGGCTTTGCTCACCCCCTCCCCTGGCAGCACCCCTCCATTGCCAACCCCCAATGAGAGAGGCCAGAGTTGCCCATAAGTTGTCCTTTATTAGTGGCTTTGTTCAGTGAGGCGGGGGGAGGGCAGCACCAGAGCAGGGTGCTCCTGGCAGGGTTGGGGTACGGAGAAGGGTGACCCTAAGGGAGGGGCTGTGCTCAGTCACAAACCCAGGCTGGCACAGAGGTCTTGAGTTGTGCCACTCTGGGGCAGGCTCTGCTCCTGCCCATCATTGCCCCAAGCCCTGGTATTCATGTGCCAGCGAGCACACACACCCCCCGCCAGCCAGGAGTGGGCAGCTCAGTGAGGGGAGTCAGACCACGTGTGTCTTGGCCCGTTGCAGCCACTCGCCCCATAGAACCACCGGGGGCAGGGAGCTGGGGGTCACTCTAAGAGCTAAGGCAAAGGGAGCAGGAGCTGCCCCAGTGGTGCTGTGCAGGGGGCTCCGGAGGGCTGGGCACACAGGCTCCCGGGGCATATGGCTTTATCCTTTAGTGTCAAGGGCTGTGGCTGCCCTGTGGGAGGGGTTGAGGGGACCACTCTGAGGCTGAGCTGCTCTGCACTGGCATATAAGCACCCATCTCCCTGTGCCTGATGACGTGTGTGGGGCCCGGGGGTGCTACAGGCTGGGTCTGCCCCTGCCAGAGAGCCTGGGATTGCATTCATGCCAGGGGGTGAGAGCCCGCCCTGCATGGGCAGCTGGCCTCCCCATCTCTGCCACTCTCCCACAGGGCCCAGCCCAGGGCAGTCACCCTCCTTACCCAACTAGCCACCTGCAGCCGTTGGACAAGAACAGACCCCCCACAGCCGGCCCACGCTGCCCTGGCACTGCCTAGGTGGGGCAGGCCAGAGATGGGTCATTGCCTCCAGAACACCCTGTCTGGGGGGCCTGATGCCACAATGGTGAGCCAGGCTGGGGGAGAAGCAGGTGCCCCATGGGGCCCAGCAGTTGCTGCCCCACCTCATCCAGCCCCTGCCCCCCGTCAGTGCAGAACGCTCAGCCTGGAGTGGGTGGGGGCAGGTGGCAGGTGAGGGGATCCTAGCTCTCCATGGGGACAGCAACCGCCTTGCTCTGATCCTCGGCCTTCGCCTCCGGCTCCCCCGTGGGCAGCAGCAGCGCTGGGCTGGGGCTGGAGTGACGCTGCTTCCTCATGAATGGGAAAACCCTGCCAGAGAGAGCCACAGGTCAGTGCCCAGGGCTTGGGCAGTGAAGGGCAGAGTTAGCATCCAGGGTGAGGTCAGCACCCGGACGGGGGCTATGTGGGATGCGTTTAGTACCAGGAGTGGGGACAGCGTGGGGTGGGGTTAGCGTCCGGGGTGAGATTAGCACCCAGGGGTGAGTGAGCACCTGGGGTGGGTTAGTGCCTGGGACGGGGCAGTGCTGAGCGAGCTTGGCACCCAGCAAGCCCCTGGCCTCTCCCCTGCTCATCCTGCAGGCCTAGGCTGGGCACCCTGTGTCCACTGGCTGCCTGGGCCCCACTCACCGTTTCTTGGTCTCTGGGGGCACGATGGCTTCTGCCAGCAGGCTGCGGTACAGCTCCGACTTGAGGAAGCGTGGGTACGAGTCCTGGGGGCAGTGCAAAGCATGAGGAGGGGGGATGAGCCCCAGGCCAGCCCAACTACGGGCCTCCTCACTGCTCTTCTCCCTCCCAGCAACCAGCCCTCCCCACAACCCCTCCCCCACTCCTCAGTGACCAGCCTGGGGGTGCCTCAGTTTCCCCAAGGCAGTTCTTAAGTGTCTAGGTGGTGGGATAAGGGTGTATGATCATTGCAGAGCCCTAGAGGGCAGGTGTGTGCAGGGGTCTGGACAGATACAGTGGCCGAAACGCTGTTTCCTGGCAACTGATGGCCTAGCCCTTCCCCCCAGTGAGGTGAGAGCTAAAGGGTTGGCGAACAAAGGAATCAGGTGACCTCCTGGCCCGGGAAAAGGAGGGGCTGGAGGGAGTTTCAGTTTGGGGCTGGCTGGAGACATGGAGTGAAGGGCAGATGTGGTTGTCTGGCTCACTGCCCCCCAAAATGGACCCAGCTGAGGGGTCCTGCTCTCTGCACCTACAAGCTCTGTTTTAGACTATGTTCCTGTCGTCTGATAAACCTTTGTTTTATTGGCTGGCTGAGAGTCACGTCTGACTGAGGAGTTGGGGGGCAGGACCTTCTGGCTTCCCCAGGAGCCCCGCCTGAGCGGAGTCACTGTGGGAAGCGCACGGAGGGGCAGAGGATGCCGAATGCTCCGAGGTCAGACCCAGGAAGGTGGAAGCTGTGTGAGTTGTGTGCCCTGGAGACAGGCTGCTCACAGGAAGGCGACTGCCCCAGAGTCCTGACTGGCTTCATGGGGAGCAGTTCCAGAGCATCGCCCAGGGACTCCGTGACACCCTCCCCCACTTCTCAGTAACCAGCCTGCCCCACGGCCCATCCCCTGCTCCTCAGTCACCACCACACTGACCAGCTTGCCCTGGAGAATGCCCTTCCCCCCCATCCTCCAAGTAGGACCAAAAAAAAAAGGAGCACTGGATAAATTCATGGAGGTTAAGTCCATGAATGGCTATTAGCCAGGATGGGTAAGGAATGGTGTCCCTAGCCTCTGTCTGTCAGAGGGTGGAGATGGATGGCAGGAGAGCAATCACTTGATCATTACCTGTTAAGTTCACTCCCTCTGGGGCACCTGGCATTGGCCACTGTTGGTAGACAGGATACTGGGCCGGATGGACCTTTGGTCTGACCCAGTATAGCCGTTCCTATGTTCTTATGTCCACCCCCCCTCTGCCCATGCTGCCTGCTCGGGCTGGTAAAGCTGCAGCCCAGTGCCCAGGGCTCTCCCAGCCCCGTGGGTAACCTGGGGCAGCTGAAGCTGAGGAGGAGGTGCCAGTGCCCAGGGGAGGGGCAGGTGTGGGGGCAGGGCCCAGCCCCCACCTTCTTCATCAGCATGTAGATGTGCATCTGGGCATCGTCCATCACGTAGCGATGTGGCGTCTTGATGCCCTCCAGGGTCCTCTCCATGGTCTTGCTGTCGATGTTCACCCAGCGGGTGGCGCCGGGGGCCAGGAACTGCCTGGGGAGCAGGACACACACCCAGCCTGAGCAGGGCTGGCTCAGGGCCATGCGGGGTGCTCCTGGGCTCCCAGCAAGGGCACCGCAGGGGCAATGGCCAGGGGGCTCCCCCTGCAGGTTTGAGGGGCAGAGGCCATGGGCTCAGACCCCACCCCGAGCCCCATCCACACAGCTCTATCAGGGCACCCGCCAGGTCAGCTCAGGTTGGGGGTCGGCAGCTAGAGAGAAGTTGGAGGAGTCCCCTACAGGTTCCCAGGTCCCCAGATCAGCCAAGCCCCACCCCCACCCCCACCTCCCCACATGCCCTGTGCCCCTCCTGTGCATCTGGGACTGACACCTCCCCCCAGCCTCTCCTGCGTGTCTGGGACTGGCACATCCGCCCCCAGGCTCTCCTGCGTGTCTAGGGCTGGTATGCACCCCTCCCCCAGGAGGTGAGAGCCGTGCCAGCTCTCCAGAACCATGCTCCGCACTGTGCTCGGAGCCACAGGAAAGAGCTGCCCCGGGGGACCCCGACGTATAGGCCCCATTGGGCTCTAATGCCTTGCAGAGGGGACCACACACCGCCCCCCTCTGGCTTGACGTGTGGGGTCAAGTGGGGGGCAGAGCATGGGACAGGGCACTGAGATAGATGGGAGTCCACGATGCAAGCACAGGGGGAGCATGTGGGGGCTTGGCATGGTGGGGGTGTGGCGGGGGCTCGGTGCAGTGGGGTCTCAGGGCTGTGGGGCTCTGTGAGTTGGGGGTGTGGTGGGGCACAGCAGGAGTGTAGTAGGGGATCGCTGTGGCAGGGGCTTGGCACGGTGGGGATGTAGTGGAGGCTGGGCACAGTGGGGGCATGGCGGGGGTGTGATGGGGGCTCAGCAGGGCACTCCCAGATAGATGAAGTCTATGATGTGGGCAATGTGGGTACAGCAGGGAGCACATGTGGGGCGTGGTGCAGTGGGGCCACAGCCGGGCACTCACTGATAGATGGAGTCCATGGTGTCGGCGATGCGGGCCTGCTCCCCGTAGCGCAGCTCCTCACACGCCTCCCAGAAACTCAGGTTCTCGGCTGGCGGGAGAGAGACGATGTTGGCAGCAATAGAGCAGGGAGCAGCCCAGCCATGCGGCTCACGCTCCAGCTGGGCCCCGCAGGGCACAGGTGCCCATGCATCGCCGGTGAGCGAAGGACGGGGAAGATACAACCCCTGTGGGGGCCACGTGCAGAGGAGCCATGTGAAGGAGGATCCCTGCCGGGCGCTCTGCTGCCGGCCGTGCCAGCCCCTGGACCCCTGTAAGCCCAGCAGGTGCTTGAGCCGTGGCTGGAGTCCTGTACCCATGGCACTGGAGGGGCTCTCCCTGGAGCTACCCCACAGGAGGGGCCGCAATCCCAGGCCTTCTCCAGCCAACCCCGGCAATGGCTCCTCCTGCCAGCAGGACCCCGTTGAGCAGGAGGGAGGAGCCAGCCCCAGCCTGGCATCGTTGGCCGAAGCCAACCGGGCAGGGTAGGTCACTCACCGCTGAACTCCTTCTTGAGGAACTCCAACAGCTGCCTGCGGCCCAGCGTGTCACCCAGCAGCTCACTGAAGCTGAAGCCCCAGCGCTCCACACGCAGCTTGGTCGGCGTTGTCACCCTGCGGGGGAGGGAACCGAGGTCACGGGGGCTCCTGCTGCCACTGACCCCCGCCCTGAGACAGGCTTGAGGGAGCCCCAAGGAGTTCGGCCCTGAGCTGGGGCCCCAGCCCCTCATCCTGAACCGGGCCCACACCTCCCCGTCTGGAAAGTCCCCACTAGCTCAGGCTTAGCAGCGCCCCCAGGACCATGGCAGCACAAGGCTGGGCCCGGCCTGCCTGTCATGGTGCCTGGGTTCACAGTGTCCCCCAGTGGCATGGCAAGGTCTCCAAGCAGGCCCCCTGGGCCAGCGTTGATCAGTGACCCTCCCCACAGCACATGGCAATGGGGCAACGACTGAGGGGTCCAGGAACCCAGTGCCCACTGCCTGCAGCACACTGATATTCTTCCGGCCCCTGCCAGCCCCAGTGCTGGGGAGGAACCAGCCACAGGCTGGATCCCCACACTGTGGCCTGTGCTGCCCCCTGCCCCGGACGCTTACGTGGGGGCGTTCATGGCCCAGTATGTGGTGTCGTCCGTGATCCAGGGGTTACTGGGCAGGCAGCCGGACATGATGGGATCGTGGGGCACGTACTGCTCGTTGAATTTGATGTACCTGCCAAGGGAGGAGTGATGGTGAGCACGGCTGGGCTCTCCGCATGGCCTCCACCCAGCAGACAGGTCCAGCGTGGGGCCGGTGGACCTGGGAGCTGTGCCAAGCAGCACTGGGGAGCAGGCATTGCTGCTGCTCTGTCCCACATGTCCTGCCAGTGCCCCCCAACAGATAGATGGACAGGTAGAGCCTGGCGCCTTGGCAGGCCCAGGAAGGGCCGGTCTCCGAGGGCATAGGCTTGCTTTCCCTTGCTGCCCGGGCGCTCTCTGGGAAGCACTCCCGGATGCCCAGCCTGCTGCTGGTTCCCAGCAAGCCCTAAGGATGAGACATGGCTCAGAGCCAGGGCTCCAGCCAGGCCTCGGGGTGTGTGTCATGCTGCACAGATTCTGTCAAAGCCCTTCCCAGCCCCACGGCCCGCTGCACTGCTCTGCATCAGCCCTGGGCATAGGGCCTGGCCCCAGGGCGATTCCTAGAGGGGCTCCCTGTTTCTGCAAGCACTATGTCACCCCCACAAGCAGCAGGGCCAGGGGCCAGCACAGAGTCAGCTTCTGTCTGTGAGGGTCACACAAGCACCAGCCACAAGAGGCTGCAGTGTAATGCTGAAATATGGACACTGCCACTTTTGGGGGCCCAGGACTGGTCTAGCAGGGGCTGTGGGTCAGGATTGAGGGGCACCGGCAGAGCTGGGGGGTGGAGGGAGCCCCAGGGCTGGGATAGCAGGGGCTGCGGGTCAGGATTGAGGGGGACCAGCAGAGCTGGGTGTAGCTCCAGCCCTGGAATAAAAATCCCACTAGCTAAACCCAGTGGGGCTCTGGGCCTGGGATGCTAATATCCTAGTAGCCCCCTGCTGGAAAAGGGAGTCACATGGAGTAGGTGTGGCTCCCACTGGGCACCAGCAGCTGAGGGGAGAGCCTAGCGTTATTAGGTGTGAGTGGAGCTGTCTACACCCCCTCCCCCAGAGCCAGGGGCAGCTACAAGGTGTTTGCATGAGTGGCTCAGCCCTGTGCCCAGGGACATGGAAATGCCACTGAGGCTCCCCGGGGCCTGCCCCACCCCCCACCTGGGGATGGCAACTTACCCCTCCAGGCAAATGGAGGACTTCACGCGGGTCCTGCCCATGGCCTTTCGGCAGCACTCGATCTGGGTGCGGGCGCAGAGAGGAGTGGGGTTGAGGAGAGAACAGCAGTGCCCGGCCAGCCCGAGAAGCAGGGCACAAATCCTGGAGGGACAGGAGCTGCTCCGGCTGTTACCTACCCCCACGCTCCCTGCCAGGCCATGGGGAAACAGCGAGAGCCTGAGCCAAGCCCGGGGTGCCTGAGGCCCAAACCTCCCCACTCCTCAGCCCTTTCTGGACAGATTTAGCAACGCTTCCCCTGCTCCTGGTAGGGCAGGATACAGGGCACAGCCATGGGCATGGCCCATCCACTCTACACATGCCCCTCAGCCCTGGCACGGCAGACACAGTCCCATGCAGTAGCACTGGCTCAGCCATCACTGTGGGGTTTCCAGCAGGGTCACGATCATGTCAGGAAACCCACAGGCCTGGCTGGGCGAGCCACGGGCCATCAGCAGCCTCCCTTCCACCAGGCTCCCTGCGGGCCTGGTTGGACGAGCCATGGGCCATCAGCAGCCTCCCCTCTGCCTGGCTCCCTTAGCTCACTGGGAGGCTCTGCACAGTCCGAGAGCCAAGGCTCTAGGGAGCAGCCTGCCCATCCACTGTCCAGCGTGCGACTGGGCCGGCACCAGCCTCGCACTCACCTCCCGCTTGTAGTAATCCGTGTTCTCAGGCTGAAAGAGACCGACAGAGGAGTGTGAGCACCCAGCCGAGCCCCCAGAAAGGCCCTGCTGCGAGCCAAGAGCTCGGCCGTGCCAGCCCTGCCCAGAGAGGGTTCACCCCAGCATCTCCAGGCTTGGCTGCTAGCCCGCCTTGAGCCATGCCAACCGCATGCCCATGGCACTCCCAGCTGCATCCCAGCCCAGCCAGACTGGGGCTATGGGCATTGGGCAGGCTCTGGAGGGCGCTTTGCTCTGCCCACTGGGGCAGCCACACTGCATGGGGCCCCCCACTCCAGCTGGGCCAGGGCCAGTGCAGGGCACAGGCCAGAGCCCCGGGGGAACAGCAGCAGGATTCCAGTCTCCCATACTCCCAGCAGGGGAGAAGGGAAAGCAGCAAGCTGCTCAGCCATGAACCCAACACCAGGGTGATGGGCACCTGCAAATGCCCCCAGGACACATGGGTACCCATCCCCCAGCAGGCAGCTCCTCACCGCACAGGAGGGGAGGGGTCAGGGGCCAGCACTGGCACAGAGCTGCCTGGTACCATACCAGGCGGGTGTCCAGGAGAGCGGGGAGCCAGGCAGCCAGGGGGAAGTGGAGGGCAATGCCCTGGCATGCTGGGCCGTGCAGCCACCAGCTGGCCGGAAAGGATGGCACAACTGCACAGTGCCAGCGGAGAGGGTGTGGCACCCTGCTGTGCGACTGCCAGCACAAACCCCAGAGCTGCAGCCCCTGGTGCTGCCCAGCCCCATGCCCGGGGTGGGAGATGGGGATCCGGGATGGCCCAGAGCCCTGTTCCAGCCACAAGAGAGCACTGCCCCTCCCCACGGCCTCCTTCCACGCCACCCAGGAGGCACGGTCGCCAGCCCAGCCCACGCTCACACATCAGTAAATGGGGGAGCCTGGAATAGAACCCAGGAGTCCTGTCTCCCAGTGCCCTGCTCTAACTGTGTGCACCCCCCAGCCCTGTGCAGCCCGGCCCATCACACAGGCCCCGTCGTGGGCAGCTCTGGGTTAGGGACACTTACTTGGACAGAAGACGAGGCACGAGACAGGAGAAGAGAAGAGAAACAAAGCCAAGCAGTTAGTAAGGAGCCGGCCCGACAGACGGACAGGAGAGGAGAGGAGCCCCCGGGGGCTGTGTTAGTGACACCACGACACACGGGACGGGGCACCAATAGCCGCTGAGCGACAAACCCCCCCGAGGCCAGCCATGGCTCTGATGGCGCTCGGCCCCCATCCCAGGGCTGGCTTGGCTAGAGGCCAGGCCCACGGCTCACTGCAGCAAGGGCTCTGGCCAGGCCGGGAACTCCATGCTGAGGATGCAGTGCCCACGGGGCAGCCACTCGGACTCTTTGCGCCTCTCGGCACCTGCTGACATTGCTCCCCGAGGACGGCGGCTGGCTCTCCTGCCAGGGCTCTGAACAATTGCCGTGGCAGCTCTCTGTGGCCGCTGGGGAGGTGAGGAGAGGGTGCCCAGAGCTGGCAGGCGTCGGGCAGGTCACGCTAGGACAGACAGCCCAGGAGCACCAGGCCCAGCCTGTCACCCAAAGCAGCTGGCGTGGCCAGGGAGTGGCTGGCTGGGTCAGGCGCTGGCAGAGCAGATTTGTATTCACTGGATAGCCTGGCAACGGTGCGCAGGGAGCGTCAGGGCCAGAGGGCTGGCAGGGCGGGCACTGGAGGAGGCCTGGCCCTCAGGGCTCTTGTCTCCCCAGCGGATCTGCGGGGCCCAGCCCACTGTGGATTCCCAGCCGTTAGCAGAGCTGGGGGATCAGTGAGCAGGTGGTGCACACAGCGGGGAGGACGAACTCCACACACAGGGAGGGGAGAGAGCAGAGACAGGGTGGGGAACAGCTGGGAAAGAGATGTTAATACACCCGGGGACTAATCCCAAGCAACCCGGTGATGCTGAGGGGCCCAGGGTGAGAGCAGCAGTGACCTGACTGGAGTTTGCAGTGCCTGGGGCTGGGCACAGACAGGATCATGCCCTGGGGACTCAGGTGCACCCACAGCTACCAGCGGGCCGAGGCGATGCTGGGGGCCATCCTGAGGACAGGAGAGCCAGCATCGCCTCCCCCAGCTCTTCGTTAGAACGGTTGCGAGCTGCTCTCGTGCTTCGGGGCCACGGCCAGTGGCCGCACCAGTCAGCGGGGAGAGTTTCGCTTTCTCTGAAGCATCAGAGATGGGTCCCAGCTGGGGACGGGCCAGCGGGCTCGGGGTGGGACAGAAAGTCCTTGACACCTGGCCGCTGTGCTCTGATCCCCAGATGGGGGGGCGGGGGCGGCGGGAAGGAATTTCCCCCAGCGCAGATTGGCAGGGAATTTGGGGGGTTTCCAGCCTGGGGCCCATCTGGGCACGTCTCACGTAACCAGTTTTCAGGCACTGGTGCACCGTGGTCCCGCTGGCGAGAGCTGAAGTCCCTGGGCAGGGGTAGCTGGCTGAAAGGTCTGGACTGGGTGGTCTAATGGGCACTTCTGGCCTTGAGCTGTGAGAACCTCTGAGCGTGAGGAGCAGCTCGTGGGCTTCGGGAGGCTCCCAGACCTGGCTCCACGTCTGTTCCACGTGGCTGTGGGACTCCGCCGGGTCGGGCTAAGGAAGCACGTGGGAGCCCAAGGGAAGCAGCCCTGGCTGGGCCAGTCTTTACCTAGTCGGACTGGGAAGAGCTAAGCAGCTTCTCAGACAGGCCCGACAGCAGCCTGTGGCAGTCTGCTGGGAGCACTGTGCCCCTGCACAAGTGCCCTGGCAAATGGGCAGTGGGGAACAGCCCTTGGCTGGCCCCAGGGCAGGGTGTGGCTGGCACAGAGCTCCTGTCCCAGCAAGAGGGAGGGAGGGAGGTGCACACCCTGACAGGACACTCACCAGCTGCACCCGGCTGATGTGGCAATTCCTCCGCTCCGGCCCATGCTCCATCACGTTCAGGGCTCCCGGCTGCCAGAGGAGAGAAAATGAGGTCAGGACCCCACTGACTGCCTTCCCCAGTCCCCGTAGCTCGCATCCAGTGCCCATCCCGTCACCCCTCTGGCATCGGCCGCCAGGACTCTTGTGCAGAGAACCTACCTCAGCTCTGAAATCCTGGCACAGGGAGCGCCAATCCACCTAGACCTGACCTCATGGGACCGGTGCAGTGCCTGGGGCTCGGCACACTGACACCAACTTAACACGCACCTCGGGGAGCTGCAGCAGGGGCTGGCAGGGCCCAAGGGGCTATGCGGGGGCTCTAGAGCTGGGGGATGCTGAGCGACGGGGTGAGCTGGTCAGCCCATCAGGCTGCGAATGGTCTACTGGGGGGTGGGGGGAGGACTGGAGGGCTCCCGCTTGGGGGAAAGTTCACACCACACTGGGCGTGGTCACCCCTTAGCACTTTCCATGCCAGCCTCAGGGCTCCCAGGGGCACAGGGCCCCATGCCCAGGTCCCCGGGCACATGTGGCTACACAGGACCCCTGTACTACAGGCAGCTCTCTTCTCCACCTGTTCCCCATGGGCCCAGGTACCAGAGTCAACGCAGAGCAGGGCCTTCCGTTCAACCCCCAAGCCACGCTCGGCCCTCGGGCTGGCGGCAGGGCCCCAAGGCCAGCTCTTTGTGCTGCCAAGCAGGGTATCAGGGCTAGCTTCTGTCTGGAGACGCGGTAGCCCAGGCTAAGCATGCTGGGATAATCCTGCCATGGTCCCAGGGTCACTGCCAGGAAAGGGGCTGGAAAGTTCCAGGTCTTGTGCAGTCAGACCCACACCAGCCAGCAAACACGCAGTCCGATTTTCAACAGTACCCCCAGGCTGGGGCACCCCCTGCGGCCGGACGGGCGTCTCGAGCAGGGCTGCCCAGTCTGGGGCCCGGGCTCTGCCAGCAGGTGCAGCCACGGAGGGCAGAGTTGGGAGCAGGGCACAGCCAGACACACATGGCAGCAGGCTCAGCACTCTCTGGTTCAGCCCAGTTCCCCAGGGGGTAGCTCTCCATCACAAAAAGAGCCCCTCAAGAAGCCCGCTGCAGCTTGGCCCCATGGATCCCTGGGGGGCTGCAGCCTGGGCCCGGTCCCGCAGTCCCGAGGACACTAGCTATCCTGGAGCTGCCTGGGGCGGGAAATCAGCGCTCCCTGCATGTGGGACATTTGGACGACAGGTGGCCTTGGGTGCTGCTGCCCCGACGCGCTCCGGACGGGCCCTGCGCTCCCCTTACTTCCCCTCACCCGGCCCCTCCAGCAGGGAAGACCCGGGTGCAGGGCAAAACAGCAATCCCGCCGCAGTGCCCAGCCCCTGAGCTGGGAGATCCCCCAGGGACTGCAAGGCCCCGTCTGCCTGCCCAGCCCCCATAGCAGCAGGCGGTGACTGGCATTAGACTAAAGGGAAGGCAGAGGATTTAACGCCAGCTGTTGTGGCCCGCTCCTGTGAGCCGGCGCTAATGCTCTGAGTGCTGCTTGCACCCGTCCTCTGGGAGAGCGCGCCAGGCCGGGCATGGGGGCAGCTGGCCTGGGGGGTTGAGAGGGGAGCTGCGCTCCTGGGCAGAGCTGCAGGGAGCTGGCACAGGGCTGTGTGTGCCCCACTGTGCTGCACGGCTGGGGAAAGGAGACCCACCCTCTGCGGTGCTGAGCTCTGTGGGGGTGCGGGATTCGTGGAGTGAGGTGCTCGGAACCAGCCAGCACGGAGTGGGGGGAGCAGCCCCAGCTTCCCTGCCATTGAGGGGGCTCTTCCCTGCGCCAGCCCCCAGCTGCTGCCCATGCCCTGGTGAGTTGCAGCCTCATCACACCAAGACACAGGGGTTAAGCCCTGCCAGGGGAGGGACGGCTACCCCCTTCCAGGGCTACCAGGCTCGTAGTGGTACCAGGCTGGGTGCCCCTCAGAGCACTGGAGGGCTGCCCAGAAAGCCAGTGCCCTCTGGTGGGCAGGGAGGGGAGGGGCTGATGCACGCCTAGCTGGGGCAGTCGCTGCCAGCTGGCAGCACCAGGGCAGGCGGGTGGCCTCTAGGCTCCTCACTCACTGCCTGGAGCCAGCACCTGACCCTGTGGGGGTCGGGGCAGATGGGGCTCCCCGGAGGTCTCATGGAGGGAGGCCTCAGTGGGACTCTGAGCTGCCAGCACAGGCAATGATGGGACAGCCCCCTGCCCCCCAAGGTGGGCTCCGCAGGGCCCATGTCTCAGCCAGGCTGACTCCGACAGGCTGGGAGGCTGAGTCCCAGGGGCCGGATGCCAGGGTCCCTGAGAATTCCCCCTCACCGCCCCGCCCAGCCTCTGCAGATGTCTGCCCTCAGCTCTGCTATGGCCCAGCTCCTTTCCCTACAGGGGATGTGCGGGGCTCATGCCCAGCACCGATGGCACTCAGGGCGGCTGTGGCAGTGAGGCAGGCGTGGTGTGCCTGTCCCATGGCTGGAGAAGGGACTGGAATGCAGCTGTCACCCCACCACACAAGGCTGGCCATGCCCCACCTCCGGGGGGTTGCCCTGCCAGCCACGTCTCACCCCACTCCTCCCCAGGGGCTCTGCCCAACCAGCATGCCCCGACCCACCCAGGGGTCCTGCCCCACTGTCCCATCTCGGGGGTCCCACCCTGCCAGCGCACCCCGCCCCTGCCCTGCTCCACCCCAGGGGCTTTGCCCCACCATCATGACCCACCCTGTCTTCTGCTCTGCCCTGGGGTCCCATCCCACCCCAGGGGGTCCCGCCCCACCCTCTGTTCCACCCTGAGGGCCCACCCTGGGGGTCCTGCTCCACCGCCCTGCTCTGTTCTGAGGGTTCTGCCCTGCCGGCACACCTCACCTCACCCTGCCCCACTCCACCACCCTACCCCGGGAGTCCTGCCCTGCCACCCTACCCTGTGGGCCCCACCCTGAGGGTCCCGCCCCTCTGCCCTGCCCTGCAGGTCCTGCCCTGCTGGCACGCCTCACCCCACCCCACACACCATACCAGGGGTCCCGCCCTGCTGGAATACCTTACCCTGCCCCACCCTGGGGGTCCTGTCCCATCACCTTACCCCGGGGGTCCCATCCTGCTGGCGCACCTTACCCCTCCACAACCGGGGATCCCACCCTGCCAGTGCACCTCACCCCACCTCATGGGTCCTCCTGCCACCCTCAGGGCTCCCCAGCAGCCCCACCAAGGCGTGCACCCTCCTGCTATGAGGGGCCCCAGGGCTCTGGGCCGGCATGGCCTTACCGGGGGCCTGTTGACCAGCCAGTAGGCCTGCTCCTGGCAGTCTATGACGATACGATCCCCCTTCCGTCGCTGCTTGGCTGCCCTGTCAATAGAAGGGTAGCATCAGAGCACGGCGTTGCCAGGGGCAGCCGCTCACACCAACCCCTTAGCCAGCAGGTGTCACGGAGTGTGGGGGAGTCCAGGCCCTGCACCCCTCTTCCAGGGATTCACTGAGACTCTCAGCCAGCCAGTAAAACAGAAGGTTTGTTGGACAACAGGAACACAGTCCAAAACAGAGCTTGTGGGTACACCCAGGACCCCTCAGTCAAGTCCTTCTGGAGGAGCAGGGAGCTTAGACCCCAGCCCTGGGGTTCCCTGTGTTCCTCCACCCAGCTCCAAACTGAAACTAAACCCCCCTCCCACCCCCCCCAGGAGGCTCTCTCCTGCAGCCAGTCTTCACATTCCTGGGCAGAGGTGTTACCTCCCCCTCCCTCTCCTGGCTCAGGTTACAGGTTCTCAGGTCTCTCATCCCCAGGGCACATTCCCAGGTCAACACTCCCCCCTCCCTGCTGCGTCACATCGTCACATCTCTCCCCCCTTCGAGACTGTACTGAGCGGGGTCACGCTGACCAGTGACTTGGGGAAGTTTGGGGCCACCTCTCCGGGACAGCGCATCCGCTATCAGGTTGGCACTTCCCTTCACGTGGACCACGTCCATGTCGTAATCCTGCAGGAGCAGGCTCCATCTCAGGAGCTTGGCGTTGGCTCCTTTCATCTGGTGCAGCCAGGTCAGGGGAGAGTGGTCGGTGTAGACGGTGAAGTGTCGCCCGAAGAGATAGGGCTCTAGTTTCTTGAGGGCCCACACCATGGCCAGGCACTCCTTCTCGATGGCCGCGTAGTGTTGCTCCCGGGGTAGCAACTTCTTGCTCAGGTACACGATGGGGTGTCCTCCCCCCTTTTCATCCTCCTGCATTAACACCACCCCCAGTCCTGTGTCTGAGGCATCGGTGAACACCACAAAGGGCTTGTCAAAGTCTGGGTTTGCCAGAACTGGGCCACTGACCAGAGCCTCCTGCAGCGCCCGGAAAGCCTCCTGGCACTGCTCGGTCCAGACCACCTTATCTGGCTTCCCCTTCTTGCACGGCTCTGTGATGGGGGTGCCTATGGCGCTAAAGTGGGGCACAAATCTTCGGTAGTATCCTGCCATCCCAATAAAGGCTTGGACCTGCTTTTTGGTGTGGGGAGCGGGCCAGTCTCTGATCACCTCCACCTTGGCTGGTTCCGGCTTTAGGCGGCCGCTCCCCACCCGATGGCCCAGGTAAGATACTTCAGCCATCCCCACCTTGCACTTCTCCGCTTTTACAGTCAGCCGAGCCCCCTGGAGTCGGTCCAGCACTTGGCTAACCTGGGACACGTGGTCCTCCCAGGTCTGGCTAAAGACACAGATGTCATCAATATACGCCACGGCAAAACTCTCCATCCCCCTCAGTAGCTGGTCCACTAGGCGCTGGAAGGTGGCCGGCGCTCCCTTGAGGCCGAAAGGCAGGGTCAGGAACTCATAGAGCCCCAGAGGGGTGATAAAGGCCGATTTCAGCCGAGCCTCTGCATCCAGCGGCACTTGCCAGTAGCCCTTTGTAAGGTCCATGGTGGTAAGGTACCGAGCTCCTCCCAGCTTGTCTAGGAGCTCGTCCGGTCTGGGCATGGGGTAGGCATCAGATACAGTGATGGCATTGAGCTTCCGATAGTCCACACAGAACCGGACCGACCCATCCTTTTTGGGGACCAGCACCACCGGCAAGGCCCAAGGGCTGGCAGATGGCTGGATCACCCCCAGAGCCAGCATGTCCCGGACCTCTCTTTCCAGGTCCTGAGCAGTTTTCCCTGTGACTCGGAAGGGGGAGCATCTTATCGGCGGGTGCGACCCTGTCTGCATTAGTCAGATTAGTGCGTCCAGGCTGGTTGGAAAACAGCTGTCGGTACGGATGCAGCACCCCCCTGACCTCAGCTTGCTGGGCAGGGGTTAGCTGATCCGAGAGGGGAATTGTTTCCAGGGGGGAACCAGCTCTGGTCCCAGGGAATAGATCTACTAAAGGGTCATCTCCCTGCTCCTCCCACTGTCCACACACGGCCAACACCACATTCCACCTGGCATAATATGGCTTCATCATATTCACATGGTACACCCGGCGGTGGTGCGCCCGGTTCGACAGCTCCACCACATAGTTTACCTCATTGAGCTGCTTGACGACCTTGAAAGGGCCCTCCCAGGCGGCCTGTAGTTTGTTCTTTCTCACAGGGATGAGAACCATCACCTGATCCCCGGTGGCGTAGGCACGGGCCCGCGCCGTGCAGTCATACCAGACCTTCTGCTTCTTCTGGGCTCGGGCCAGATTCTCCCTGGCCAGGCCCATGAGTTCAGCCAGTCTCTCTCAGAAGATCAGGACATACTCCACCACTGACTCTCCATCGGGAGTGGCCTTCCCCTCCCATTCGTCTCTCATCAGTTCCAGGGGGCCCCTCACCCTCCTTCCATATAACAGTTTGAAAGGCGAAAATCCGGTAGACTCCTGGGGCACCTCCCTGTACGCGAACAGCAGGTGAGGTAAGTACTTGTCCCAATCCTGCAGGTGCTGGTTCATAAAGGTTTTCAGCAGCATCTTTAGCGTCCCATTGAACCTCTCCACCAGCCCATTGGACTGGGGGTGATAAGCTGAGGCCCAGTCGTGCCTCACCCCACATTTCTCCCACAAGCACCGGAGCAGGGCCAACATGAAGTTGGAGCCTTGGTCTGTCAAGACTTCCTTGGGGAACCCCACTCGGCTGAAAATGGTCAGGAGCGCATCTGCCACGGTGTCTGCGTCAATGGAAGCTAAGGGCACTGCCTCGGGGTAGCGGGTGGCAAAATCTACCACCACCAGAATGTATTTCTTCCCCGACCGGGTCGTCTTGCTGAGAGGCCCCACGATGTCCATGGCCACCTTCTGGAAAGGCTCCTCTATGATGGGCAAAGGTCTCAAAGCCGCTTTCCCCTTGTCCCGGGCCTTCCCCACCCTCTGACTGGGGTCACAGGATTGGCAATACTGCCGGACCGTGGTAAAGACCCCGGGCCAGTAAAAGTTCTGTAGCAACCTCTGCCGGGTGCGCCGGATTCCCTGGTGCCCTGCGAGGGGGATGTCATGGGCCAGGTACAGGAGCTTGCGGCGATACTTCTGGGGGACCACCAGCTGCCTCCTGATCCCACAGGACTCTACTTCCCTTATGGGAGCCCATTCTCAGTACAGGAACCCCTTCTCCCACAGGAACCTCTCCTGGCAGCCTCTCCTCATGGTCCGTCCCACACTGAGGTCAGCCAGGTCCCTGAGCTTCTGCAAGGAGGGGTCTTTCCTCAACTCGGCCTGGAACTCAGCGGCTGGGGAAGGGATGGGGCCCGGTTCCCCCTCAGTGGCCAGGTCTGAGGCCTCAGCCTCTCTAAGCCATGCCCCTCGGCGCTCCCTCCCCACCAGGGTAGGGTCCTGCGCCTCCAGTGTGGTACCCTCCCCAAGGTCAGGGCGCAGTGCCCCTCGCCGGCTCTGGCTACGGCTCACAACCAGGGCGGTCTGGGGCTTGCTTGGCCAGTCCTCTAGGTCTCCCCCCATCAAAACTTCAGTGGGCAAATGGTGGTGTACCCCCACATCCTTGGGGCCCTCCTTGGCCCCCCATTTCAGGTATACCCTTGCCACAGGCACCTTAAATGGGGTCCCGCCCACCCATGTCAGGGTCAGGTAGGTGTTGGGCACCACCCGATCTGGGGCCACCACCTCGGGCCGGGCCAGCGTCACCTCCGCGCCCGTATCCCACTGACCTTCCTCCCATCCACCTCCAGGGGAACAAGGCACTCTCTCCGGAGGGTCAGCCCCGCGCCCACCCTGTAAACCGAGCACCCTGAGTCCAGAGCCTCCAGCCCTCTGGCGGAGCTGGCCTGGGGTACTCTTCCCTCCGGAGCAGGTGGTAAGCTGGCAGCCCCCCTTGCCTGGGTCGTCTGCCCCTCGTCCAGCTGAGTCCCTACCCAGTTAACCCTGGGTAGGTTGGGTCTGCTCAATTTGTCCCTGAGCCCGGGGCACTGGGTCTGTACGTGGCCTCTCTGGCCACAGTGATAGCAGCTCAGGTCATGTTGGTCCCCTCGAGCGGGTTGGAGGGGCCCGACGCCAGGCGTTCCCCTTGCGAGGGGGTTCTCCCTATTTCCCCGCTGGGAGGCCCCCTGGTGACTCTCTCTCTGCATCGTGCCCCTCTGCCTGTTCTTTTGGGACTCCTCCCTGCTACCCACTGACCGACTGTTCACAAACTCGTCGGCCAGCTGCCCTGCGTGCTGGGGGTTCTCTAGCTTTTTGTCCACCAACCACAGCCTCAGGTCGGAAGGGCACTGTTCATACAGTTGCTCCAGTACAATTAGGTCAAGCAGGTCCTCTTTAGCTTGGGCCCCAGATGTCCACTTGCGGGCATACCCCTGCATCCGGTTGACCAGTTGTAGGTAGGTGACCTCAGGCGTTTTACGCTGACTCCGGAACCTTCTCCGGTACATCTCGGGGGTCAGCCCAAACTCACTGAGCAGGGCCTGTTTGAACAGTTCGTAGTCCCCAGCCTCCGGCCCTGTCATTCGGCTGTACACCTCCACGGCTTTGGGGTCCAGTAAGGGGGTGAGAAACTGGAGCTTGTCTGCAGGGTCAACCCTGTGCAGCTCGCAGGCATTCTCAAAGGCAGCTATCTATGTCCTCCCCCTCCTTATGCTGGGCCAGGAAGCACTTATCAAAGTTCCTTGCAGTCTTGGGTCCCCCCGCACTCACCGCAGCTGGGGCCCCACTGCTCCTCAGCCTGGCCAGCTCCAGTTCATGCTGTCTTTGTTTCTCCTTCTCCTGACGTTCCCTCTCCTTCTCCTTCTGCTCATGTTGACGTTGTTTCTCCTCATGTTGACGTTGTTTTTCATGATCCTCCAGCTCCCTCATTTTCATCTCCCTCTCCCATTCCAGCTGCCTCCGCTCCAAGGATGGGGAGCTTCGCCGGGAGGATCCCCTGCTGGCTGCCGTGGTCAGGGTGCCCTCGGTATTCGCTGGGCTTCCCCCAACCCCTCCCCCAGGCATAGGTAGGAAGGGTCTCGGGATGTCCTGGGCAGCAGTCTGACCCCTCCCAGCCTGGTCAGGCCCCAGGACCCACGCCGCCGGGCGGCTTCCCTCAGGGGCAGGGATCGGGTCATCCAAGCGATCCCTCTCCTCCAACTGGGCAATCAGCTGTTCCTTGGTGGACCTCCCGATGCGCAGCCCCCTCTGCCTGCACAGCTCCACCAGGTCACTCTTAAGGCGTTTAGCGTACATCTCCCTGCTGGCCACTCGCAGGCCGGGCAGCTTTCTACGGTTTCCAGGAAAAGCCCCTCATGTGCCAGTCCTTCTTGAGGTCACCACCTCTTTGCCAGGGTCGAGCTGCAGACTCCTCCGCCCCTGGGACTGCTCGCTGCGATCCCCCGGGGGATCCTGTTACTGCAAAAGTCCTTCTCTCTGGTCACACACTCCCAGGGGTTAACCGCCCCATGAAACCGTCTCTCTCTGAATCTTCAGCACGCCCGGTCCCCGTCAATCCCCCTTCGTTTTACTGTTCCCCAGTCACTTACTGCAGGAAGCGCCATTCACGGGGTGCAGGACATCCCACCACTGCCACCAGTTGTCACGGAGTGTGGGGGAGTCCAGGCCCTGCACCCCTCTTCCAGGGATTCACTGAGACTCTCAGCCAGCCAGTAAAACAGAAGGTTTGTTGGACAACAGGAACACAGTCCAAAACAGAGCTTGTGGGTACACCCAGGACCCCTCAGTCAAGTCCTTCTGGGGGAGCAGGGAGCTTAGATCCCAGTCCTGGGGTTCCCTGTGTTCCTCCACCCAGCTCCAAACTGAAACTAAACCCCTCCCCCCAGCAGGCTCTCTCCTGCAGCCTGTCTTCACATTCCTGGGCAGAGGTGTTACCTCCCCCTCCCCTTCCTGGCTCAGGTTACAGGCTCGCAGGTCTCCCATCCCCAGGGCACATTCCCAGGTCAACACTCCCCCCTCCCTGCAGGGCAGACGGCTTCTGGCACCTCCAGGGGAGGGAGGGTAGGAGAATCATGCCAGGCCTTGGCCTTCCCCCATGTGGGGCAATGGAAGCTCCAGGCCCTGCCTCGCCCAGAGGGGTGCCCGCACTCATGTCCAGTGCTTGAACGTACCCGCCTGGCTCCATAATAGTCCTGCCAAGATTGGCAGCTCCCTCGGCCTTCCTCCCAAACGCCATGCTCAGGCAGAGCCGCCCTGGGCTCCAGTGCTTGGACACCGCAGTCCCTGCTTCGCTCAGCCAAGCTGTGGTTGTGGTTGGGTTGGGCACTGACCTGGGCGACAAGCCCCTACAGCTGGCCCTGCCCCCAGGCACCAGGGCAGAAACACTGCAGCCTCTGAGCAGCCACTCCCAGCACCTGCCCCAGGAGGCGGCGGGAGGGAGCTGGCCAGGCCGTGAGCAGCCGCTAGCTGGGCCCGAGGCCCTTCCAGTCTGTCGGGCCGTCCCTGCGGTGGTCACTCGCCAGTGCCCGGCTGGAAGGATTTCCCGCCCCACTGTGCTGGGTTCATTCTCAGCACTCAGCAACGGCTTAGTGTCCAGGCCCCACGGGCTCCCTGGTGGAAGTGGCCCGGGGAAGCTGGGGGTGAGGGCAGCTGGGAAGGGTGGGAGGAGGTTTGTAAGGGTAGATCAGCAGGGAAACTGTTAACAATGCAACCACTGGAATTCAGATCATCTGTGCTTCACAGACACAGCTCACCCTGGCCAGATTCCTTTGGGTCTGCGCCCTGCTCAGCCATTCACGCTAGGGCAAAGCGGGTGTGAGATGATCCACTCAGAGGGTAGGCGGGCACTGGTGCTAATGACTGCCCAAGGTACTGGGTGACTGGCCTATGGGCTCAGACTGCCAGTGGGCACAGGCACACAGCTTGGCATTAGTGCTCATGGTTCTGTTTGGACCTGGGGAGCCCATGATTTTGGGAGGCCACGCGGGGATGGGCCTGGGTGCCAGTGAGTGCCGAGCCCCCAACACATACAGCACCCCCTACTGGTCACTTTGCAGCGTGACTCTGCAGCAGAGGTCATCAAATTGCCACAGCCCTGGGCATACTGATGCCAGCTGAGCCAACATGGGTGGGCAAAGCACTACTTGGGCCTGGGCTCCCCCCAGCCATGCTGCAGTGCTGGGGTTCGGTCCACTGGATGGGACTCACCGGAGCTGCTCCCGTGCCTGCATCACCACAAAATCCCAGGTGTGATTGATCCTCTTGTGCAGCAGGTTGTAGTTATCCTAAAGCGAGTGTAAAAGGCAGTCAGTTGGGCTGGCCCTTCCCCCACAGGGCTCCCCAGACGGACCCATGCCAAGCAGGGGTGTGGGGCCCCCAAACCCAAATTCAAAGGGCTCTCCAGCGCTGCCTCTGCCTGCAGCCTCCTAAGCTCACCAGGACTCCCAATCCATTGACTCCCCTCATCTGCTCCCTGACCGTCCACAGCCCCCTGCTGTCCCATCCTGGGCTCCCACCACAGCTCCACCCATGCCCCTTAATCCCAACCCCCCATATTTCAGACATGGGCTTGTGTTAAGGAGAGACTCAGAAGTGGCTCAGGTGAGACAAATGTCCACTAGGGGCTAAGCTCAAACTCACTGCACTTGTGACCTAAAGCGGGTTCGGATTTGCTGACATCTCTCCTGGGCGGACGCTCAGTTCCCTGCCCCCCTCCCCCCCCATCCCTGTGCCCCACAGGGCTGTGATGGACTGCAATGGGCAGAGCTCATACCTTCTCGTGGTCTATCAGGTCACCCTGCTTGCGGATGTTCTTCTTTGCCAGGTAGATTGCTGCAGTGAGGAAGAAGGGCTGTGTCAGGGTGGGGAGCCCTTGAGGAGGGGGAGCCCATGGCCACAGAGCTGGGTGGCCCTGGCAGCCTGGGCCTGGCACTGCCTCGGCTTTGATCTCTCAGGAGGAGTCATGCTAATGGGCGCCCGTTCCCCTTTGCCCATGCCCCCCCAGGGGAGACCTTTTCCCCTCTGTACTAGGAGGATGGCATCAGGCAGGGTCAGGGGCTTGCCCATGCCCTCAGGGCCAAGATCAGAAGGCAGGACACCAGGCCTCCAGCCCTGGGCTCTGGCTACGTTTCCCCCAGATGGGACTCTGGGGAACAGGAGTCAAACACAGCATGTCCCAATGGAGGGGGGGGCACCGGCTTGGGGAACTACAAGGCCCACGGACACCACGCTGGGACGGGGCCTTCCCTGCTCACATGGCAGCTGGCAGCCTGCACCCCAGAGCCGTGTTTCCTGCAGATAGGGGGTGAGCAGGGAGGGCAAGGGGCACAGGGCAACCCTGGCTGCTGCCAGAACCTGGCCATGGAGACAGGCCTGATGAGCCAGGCAGCCTGTACGCTGCGTGGGGCAGGGAGAGACGACACCCACCATAATCCAGTTCTGTGGCCGGCCACTTGGAGCTTGTCCAGAAATAAGGAGTCTGTGGACAGACAGAGACAGACACTGAGCGGGAGCTGCGAGGGTGGGTTGCTGGCCCTGGCCCCACTGGGGAAGGATCTGTGCCAGGACTCACTGGGCTGGGGATGGGTCTGGTAATGAGCCAGATCAACACCGCCAACAACCAGGCTCCTGGGGAAACTGCGGGAAAGCTCCAGGCCAGAGATGTGGGAGCAGATGCCCTCAGGACAGCCCTTCTCCACGGGCTGGGCTTCTCTGGTCACAGCTACAGGACACAGCCCAGCCAGCCGGGCAGCACCTGGTGAGCCCCAGTCGTGCAGCCCCTCTGCTCACAGGCAGAGCACAGCAGACTTCCCTGCATGCCCGCCAGCCTGCCTCTGGGGACGCGTCCCGCTGTGCTCAGAAACAGTGCATCCTGGGAGATTTCAGAAGGTGCCTGCTCACATTCACTGGGGCTCCCTGCCAAAGGGGTCTCTGCCAGGATGCGAGACTCTCCCTCCACAGCTGCTCCTGCAGCGCCCCCAGCCCTGGGCATCTGCAGGGGCACAATGGAGCAGTGCAGGGGTGCTACCTGTCCAGTGCCCACGAGGCTGGAACAGCCCTAAAGCTGGGGTCTCACTCCCATGGTCCCCGCATCGATGGGAGTTAGTGCCACTCGCAGGCCCCAGGCCGGGCTCTGTCAAACCACATGACAAGGGCTCTGCAGCCGCTTCCCACTGAGCATGGTGCTGTCACACATCATGCTCCTCAGGCTGGTCCTCTCCAAAGGGCACTCACCTGGGCTGGGCCCCTTTAAACTCCCTGTCCCCAACCCTGCAGGGAGTGCGCCCTCCTGGGTGCTGGGGTGTGACAGCCCTCACTGGCCAGCAAGAGGCTGCTGCTGCTGGGCCGGGCTCGGGCGGTGCTTCCCGGGGTGAGAACAGAGCCTAGGCGGCAGGTGGCACGTCCCACATGAGGGGGGCAGGGAGCCCGCTCCCAGGTGGCTCACTCACCCTGTACATAGCCCTGTCCAGCTAGGATTGACCCGCTAGCGTGATAAAGGAGAAGAGCCAGGCAGGCTGGGTGGGCCCTGGATTCAGTCATAGAGCAGAGTGCCCGTGCTACGGCCTAGGCTCCGGGCAGGACCCTCTAGGTGGGTAACATTAGCCTGATGCCATGCCCTACAGGGACGGTGCAACGGGCACATACTGGCTGCCAGCCCCAGTCTCTGCAGGGCCTGCCCTTGGCACAGCTCAGTATGTTGGGGGCATAAAGAAACCTAGAGCGAGCGCTTCACTGGGAACAGGCCTACCTGGAACCTGTAGGGGGAGTCGTCGGCCCGGAGCACCAGGCTGCGGGGGTCCTTTAAGGGGTAGATGTAGCCATGCTTCACAAGGAGGTTGCCGAGATGCAGGGACTCTGCAGGAGAGAGCGTAACTGGGGGCTAGGAGAGGAGGGGGCAGCTCCCTTCTGCCCCGCGCTGGGCCTGCGCCTCCCACCTGCACCAGAGCCTCTTCCATCCCCACGCGGTGCCTCAGTTTCCCTGAAATCCTTCTTCAGGTGTGTAGCGAAACCCGCGCATGCTGCTGGCTCAAGTGCAGCCCACTTACCTAATGAGCCGGGTGGGCTGCCCCTGGAGCCATGCCCCCAGCCTGGCTGGAGAGCCAGAGAGCCCCTGTCACCAGGGATCAGCAGTATCTAGCCAGCATTGCTCTGCAGGGCTCCTCACAGCCATTGCAGAGAAGAGCCCCGCACCTCCTCCCTGACCTCTTGGCTGTTGAGACGATCAGGGCTGAGCGCGGGAGAGAGGATGGAAGGATGGTGCCCTGAACATGCCAGTCTGCACGCCGGTTCCCAGGGGCCCAGAAGAGCAGATGGGACCTGCCTGCACCAGGGCTGCTGCCATCCCGAGGAGCCCAGCCTGGCGCAGAGCCCACAGCACAACCCAGCAAGAGCCCATCACGATTCAGCCCCAGCACAGCCCCACCTGCTGGCTATGAGGCTGTGCCCAAGGTGGGGACAGAGCTTCTGGTCCCTTTCATCAGCCAGCAGAGCACGTCCCAAAGACAGCTTGGCCTCCAGGCCCCATGGCCCTGCTCCACCCAGAGCTGTGCAACAGGGGGTGGGGTGAAGCGGGGGAGACGGGCAGAGCCCAGCACGGGGTCAGGACAAGAGGGAAGGGCAAGAATGGGGCAAAGACACAAAGATGAAAGCAGCAGGTTCCAAGCAGAGAAATAAAGGAGGGTCCCTGCTTTCCCAGAGCAAGAGAACGCAGCCCCTCCCCATGGCGTTCACACAAGCCCACTCCAGCAAGCCCAGGGGAGAGGGGTGTTCTCTGCCCAGGAACGCCTGGTCCAAGTGCTCCCTGCCCATGGCGAGTGCCAGCTGCACCAGGCCCTCCCGCAGGCATGGCAGGGGCCACCCAGCCAAGTGTGGCCAGGGCAAGGACTTGCAGGTAGCGGGGTGCAGAGCTTTCACAGCAGCCGGGGCCATTCGGGGGGCAGTGGTGGTGACTGTCCCCAGCTGGGTCCCGGTGCTGGGAGCCCAAAATGCTCGCAGGGCAGCCCAGATGGGGACTCTGCAGCAGCTGGCTCTCCCCTGCCCAAGCTGCGCCCAGACCACAGCCCAGTCCCCCACTCAGCTCTCTGCGTTTCACTGCACCTGGTCCAGCCCCAAAGCAGGGCAGCTGGGAGCTCTGACCCCGCCTGGCTGGGCAGCTGCCTGGTGGTGCAGCCATGAGGAGCTGCTGGGTGGGTGAACCCTGCCTGCTAACATGGGGAGTGCCCGGCTCCCCAAGAGCCAGACCAACCCAGAACCACCTCCTGCTGGCTGTGCTGCTCTGGCAGATGTGGGGAGGCTGGAGTACAGGGAGGCAGGGGCTGGGAACGCAGAACAGGAGTTCCCTTGGGGGGCAGGGCTGGTTATAGGAGAGAGCAGGGCCCTAGGAACGCTGTGGGGTCAGATAAAGCCTGCCAGGGAGCTGGCCGGAAACTGTCAGTGCTGGCGGCTCGCGGCTGGGGGCCAAGGTGCTGAGTGGCCCATTCCCATTAGCTCCTAACCCTGTCCCAGGGACAGCGCACACCTGGTTGGGGACAAAGGGGGCGTCCCTCTGGGTGCCAGAACCCCAGCACTGTCTACCCTTGCTCCCTCCCTCTGGGTCCAGAGCACAGCTCACCATCGTGTGGGCTCGCCCCCTGCGCCATGGGGAAGGAGGGAACATAAACCGGGCTGGCTGCTCCCATCCCACTGAGCAGGCAAAGCCAAGCAGCACACAGAGGTCAGGGGACATCAAACCCCACTCGGCCTGCTATGCCCCCGCCCCCCTGGTAAGCCAGTGGGCAGTAGGCCCTGGCTATGTCTGCTGGGCTAGAGGCCAGGCAGTCTGAGGTGTTTAAATCACTTTGGCCAGATCCTTTCTTTGCTGGACGATCTCTCCCCGCCACTGCGGCCATGGGACTGCAGATCGGGATTCGTAGCACCCACTCCCTCCTCAGAGCTGGGGCCAGCCCCAGGCCCGATTGGCAGCCCCCAGCCACAGCTCTCTTGGAGGGGAGCTGACTGCCAGGCCAGGGAAACACTGAGGGGGAGACGCTGCCCATGGCGGCAGTAACATGGGCCCCACACACCATGCTGGCGGGGACGGTTCTGTGCCCTCAGCACCCAGGCTGGAAACAGAGATTCATATCCCAGTTGGGGGTGGGGGGGGCATATCTTGGCCTGGACATGCCTGCCTCACTGCTGCACTGCACAAGGCAGGCAGCCACCATACCCCACCCCTGAAGTGGCTGCAGTTTAAGTCCACTGAGTGTTACTGGGCATCTCTCTCTCTCTCGCTCCACTTTTAGGTCAATGTGCCCGCAGCTAAGCGGTCCCAGAGGCTCTGAGGATGGGCACCAGGGAGACGGTCCAGCAGACAGGCTGGGCCAGGCTGGCCATGGGAGCCATGTCACCCCACAGCACCCTGACTTTGGTGGCTCATTCTTGGCCTTCACGCTGGTTGAACTGTACCTCTGCACCCGCTGCATTGCAGCCCCTTCCCTGCGCTCTGGGGCTCAGACCCGGCGGCAGCAGCCGGGAGAGCTGCCTACCTCACAGGCTCCGGGAGAGGCCTGGCTGGGCCAGCCCTGGGGCAGGCTAATGCAGACCTAGCGAGGCTCTTTCCCGTGCCTGCTGCGCCCCTGGCAGCACACCAGGCTCTATGGGGAGAAGAGGGGGGTGGCTTGGGCAAGCATCCTGATGAGGCAGCCTGGCGATACAGGGGCCAGATCGGGGCCTGGCATTGCCTTGGCCCAGTAGGGGAGTTGGCAGAGCTCACGTCTACAAGTTCTGCAAAGGAAGTGAGTGGGTCTCATCTGCCCCCCGCCCCCTGCAGGGATACAGTCTCTGAATACCTGTCCTGTAGGGGTGGGGGGCCTGACACCAATGGCACAGTGCCTGTCGGGGGGGGGGGGGGGGGGGGGACAGGGACACTCACCCTCCTCGGAGATGGCGTACTTCTGGATGAGCCACTCCACGATGTCGTTACCTGGGGGACAGGAGTGCCCGGCATTAGGGGGCGAGCTGTCTCAGACAGGAGACCGGGCCGGCTGGCGGCGCTGCCCTGGGCCAGCACAGCTGGGCGGGGACTGGTGCTGGCACAGCCGGGCACTGTCACCCATGAGGTAAGGGGTGCCCCATCCTCGGGGGGGGGGGTGCCAAACTGCAAGCACAGGGGACAGCGAGTCAGAAGTGAGGGGCGTTGACACAATCCCCACACCTGTGTATAAAGGTGACACAGGCGTGGGGCAGGGGCAAGCCCAGGGGGTGAGGCGGGGGTGGGGCAGGGGCAGAGATGCGGGAGTGGGGAGGGGATCAGGGCTGGGAGGGGTAGCAAGGGGGTAGGGTAAGGGGACAGCCAGGGGAGTGATGCAAGGGTGGGGAGGCAGGTCAAGGGGGTGACATGGGGGCCGGGGAGGGTCATAGCTGCGGGGCTGACACATGGGTGGGGTGGGACAGGGGAGTAACACAGGGGTGAGAGGATGTCAGGACCAGGGGGACAGTGGTGATGCAGGGATGGGGCAGTCAGGGCCAGGGGGGAGGGGTGATGCAGGGCTGACGGGAGGTCAGGGCCAAGGGAGGGACGGGGAGCGAGGAAGGGGGTTGTGACCAGGGGGTGATGTGGGGGTGGGGCAGTCAGGGTCAGATAGGAGTGGGGAAGGGCTGCTGGCCTCCTTGTCCCTGCCTGTGCTGGACCCCACCCAGCCCCAGCCGCTCTTTTCTGTGCCTGCCAGGCCAGCAGCAGTGAGCACACCAGGGCCCAGCCCGGCCAGAGCCAGCTCCCCACTCAGCCCCATGCACCACTGCCCACACGGAGCTGCCTGGGAGCCTCCAACCCCCAGCCTCCCCCAGAGCTGCTCCTTGGAGCCTGTGCTCTCAGGTCCAGGGTGCAGCTCAGTGGGCTGGGAGCAGCCACACACTGTGCACACCCCCACCGTGCACGCAGTGTGAGCTCACAGTGATCACCACACACTGTGCACACCCCCACCGTGCACGCTGTGTGAGCTCACAGTGATCACCACACACTGTGCACACCCCCACCGTGCACACAGTGTGAGCTCACAGTGATCACCACACACTGTGCACACCCCCACCGTGCACGCAGTGTGAGCTCACAGTGATCACCACACACTGTGCACACCCCCACCGTGCACGCAGTGTGAGCTCACAGTGATCACCACACACTGTGCACACCCCCACCGTGCACGCAGTGTGAGCTCACAGTGATCACCACACACTGTGCACACCCCCACCGTGCACACTGTGTGCGCTCACAGTGATCACCACACACACAGTCCGTGCACACCGACCCAGGCACCAGTGTGCGCTTAGAGTCATCACCACACACAAAGTGTGTGCCCCCCCACCATGCACGCAGAGTGTGCCCATAGTGATCACCACACAGTGCACACCATGCATGGAGTGAACACTCCCAGCGATCATCGCATACACGGTGCACGCATCCCCTCCATGCACACAGTGCGTGCTCCCACACACACACCATATACATGGTGTACACACCCATGGCTAGCCCCCAGTGCCTGAACACACACACACACTGTGCACTTACAGTGCCATGCGCATGCCATCGTGCTTGCACACTCCACACACATCACACAACCTCCCCTCCCCAATCACCCATGCCTCACACAGTGTGCAATCACATCAACACCCCCCCACTCCAAACACACTCAGAGCCCTTGCCCAGAGGATGGCAGTGGGGGGAGCTGCAGTGCAAGGCACACTCATTACCCTAGCACTCCCACACACTCACAGCTGCTCTGTGCTCTCATATCCAGGGCACATGCACAGTGAGCAATGGCAGGGTCTCCCCGCTGAGTCACCAGTGCCCGGGGCTGACTGGCTCAGGCCGGGCTGGGGGGCGACAGAGTGGAGGGGATGGCACGGCAGGAGAGGGGATAGCAAGGCAGATGACTGACAGCCCCGGGGGCACGAGAGCTGCGTGCAGGGAGGGGGCAGGCCAGAAGTCTGGCAGCACTCACCGGTCATGGCGTGTGGGATCACTGTTATCAGCAGGCGCTGGTTTCTCATCTTGATGCCCATGTCGGGATCCTGCATGCTTACGATCACATGCTCCATCTGGGGGAGAGAGCAGCTGAGACGCTAGCTTGGGGGACAGCAGCCCTCCTCCTCCCCCCACCCGCTCAGCATGGGATCGGCCAGCAAACTGCAAGAGTTCCAGCCCCTCTGCCCACGGGCAGGGCGGCCCCACACAGCAGAGACAAGAGGGGAATGTGGGGCCCTGTGGGCAGCACAATTCAGATCGGACAAATACCGGGGGATGCACAACGGAGGGAATAACCCAAGCTGCTCCCAGTGACCTGCAGACCCGGGCCGTGCATCGGGAAATAATCTTGGGTGTCACTGCGGGCAGCTCTATGGAGAAAAAAACAAACCAGGGGCACAGGGCAGGGAAGGATGCAGGGAGCATTGTAACATCTGTACATAAATCAGTGATGCGGCCTTGTTCGGACACGGTGTGCAGCACTGGTCCCACAGCTCAACACAGGATATGGCAGAGCTCCAGGGGTGCAGAAAAGGGCGATGAAAAGGATCAGAGGCTGGAGAAAGTGAGGAGCAATTGAAACGACTGGGATTGTTCCCTTGGAGAGGGGATGGGTAAGAGTCTGTTATCGTGTCCTCTATCAGATACTGACTGCTCTAGAGATGGTAGATTGGGAGTGTCTCTTCTCCTGGTCGCGTAATACAAGGGAAATTCAATGTCACTGAAAGGGAACAAATCCAACTGTGATCAAAGAAAACGTTCCTCACACAACACAGCCTGTGGAACTCACTGCCACAAGATGCTATTGAGGCCAAGAGCTCTGTAGGATTCCAACAGGGACTGGGTGTTTCTCTGGGTAACAGGACCCTCCAGGGTTATAACAAGACAGACTAAAATAACTGAGCACTTTGGCAGAGCTACAAGCCCTCCTGCTTCTGGGCAGGCACCACTCGCTGATGGGGTCACTCAGGAGGAGACTTTCCCAGGGGCGGGCTAGCCCAGAATTTCCTTCCACGAGTCAGGCAAAAAGCTTCCAGTGGTGCCAAGCGAATACAAACTGGCCGACCTCAGGTAGGCACAGACTGTGACCCTGGGACCCTTGGCAGATGGCACCAGGGGAACATAGGGGTTTACAGGGATCCCAGGGGTTGATATATGTAAAACAGGTCACCACAGGGTGGCATGGAAGGTCTCTACCAAGAATCCACTGACCATCTAAAGCAGGAATTGCTGTAACCCCCTGGGAAAATATTTCAGGCTGTGAAAACCCCACTCCATACCATGCCACTCTTACTTCTGCACTGCTGCTGAAGGGCGAGAGCTCAGAGGGCAAGAGCGTGCCTGTCGTGAACCTGCCGAGGGCCAGTGGGTACTGTATCGGCTGGGAGGGGATGGCGTGTGTTCTCCGTGGCTGGTGGAGTCAGGGAGCTGAGCCCCGGCTTGCACAGACAAGACTTCTTCATGCTCAGGGCAGGTGACAGCGAGGTGCCTCACAGCTCTGGGCACCCCCAAGAAGCATCACACAGATGAGCTCAGAGCTTGTGCAGACACTGCCCAAACCCCAGGGATCGCAGACCTCGGGCAGGCAGAGACCAGCCCTCGGACTGTGCTGTGCGGACACTGCCCGACTCCGAGGGACCCCCTCGGCCAGTGCTGTGCCGACACTGACCTTCGGCCAAGCCCCATGCAGGATTTGTGTTTTCAGCAGCAATCCAGCTCCCATTGGATTCCCAGCTGCCACCAGCACGGGCTGGGGGAGTGTGGGGGGTGGCACTTTCCGAGTGTCCCTGCTCCACTGTGATGGAGTCAGCAAAAATAACAATCTCCCTCCCTGGAAATAATTCCTGCCCTGCTTTGAGGGGGACAAAATAAACACACAACCCGTGCTACAGAGTACATGGGGACAGGCAGCCCTACCCCAGCCCATGGGAACAGAGGAGCAGATGGGATGCAATCTGATTTTGAACAAACCCTCATAAGGCAATGCAGGGCCCTGGGCACAGTCCTGGGGTGCCCCCCCGGACCATGCTGTGGCCCCATTCTCCCTTGTGATGGCAGCCGAGGTCAGACCTAAGATGAATAGGCAGGTCCCAGCTCTTAGAGCTGTTATTTCAGGCTCTCTGCAGACTCAGACAGGCAGCACTTGCCTCATCTTTTCAAGCTTTTCTTGCATCCAGGAGGGCTGAAGATCTCATTTTTTGCTTAGAGCTGGTGGGATCCCAAAGCTCCAGCCTGGGCTATAGTGCCTGGGCCTCAATCCCGGCTTTTTGCCAGCTTTGGGACCTGGAGCTGTTTTTTTGGGCCTGCCACTGTGTTCCCAGAACCTCAGCATTTTTTAGAGACCTAGCAATGGCTCCTGGCTGCCAAGAGAACTTGGGAGAGGGGGCCCAATTGCAAGGCCTCCTCCAACAGGGAGGGGGAGCAAAACACAGGCAGGGCGCTGGGCACTGCCCTGGCATCCCAAGGGGAAAGGGGGGGCCGAACAGAGGCAGTGCTGGGTGCTGCCCTGGCATCCCAGGGGGCTGGGGAGGAGCCTCGGGGGCAGGACAGAGACAGGACGCTGCCCTGGCATCCCCGGGGGGGGCAGAACAGAGGCAGGGCGCTGGGCGCTGCCCTGGCATCCCGGGGGTGGGGCAGAACAGAGGCAGGGCGCTGGGCGCTGCCCTGGCATCCCGGGGGGGGGGGCAGAACAGAGGCAGGGCGCTGGGCGCTGCCCTGGCATCCCGGGGGTGGGGCAGAACAGAGGCAGGGCGCTGGGCGCTGCCCTGGCATCCCGGGGGGGGGCAGAACAGAGGCAGGGCGCTGGGCGCTGCCCTGGCATCCCGGGGGGGGCAGAACAGAGGCAGGGCGCTGGGCGCTGCCCTGGCATCCCGGGGGGGGGGGGGAGGAGCCTGGGGGGGGGGCAGGACAGAGGCAGGGCAGTGCTAGCCCGGGGGGACCGACCCGGTGTGCGGGACACTGAGCCCCACTGCCCAGGCGGCCGTGGGGGCAGGACGGTACCCGGGTACCCGGCCCCGCCCGGCTGTCTGCAGACTCGGGCACACGCCACCCCCCGCTGCAGTTCGGGGGCCGGGCCTGGGCATCGCGGGGCTGCCCGGCTGCAGAGGGGGCGGGGCGGGCCCGAGCCTGAGGGTCCCGGGGCGGGCCCGGCTCCGCTCACCTTGGCCAGGCCGGGCATCTGCAGGCGGCGCCGGGCGGCGATGGTCATGGCCGGGCGGGCTCCGGGGCGGCTCTGCCGGCAGCGGCCTCGGGCCTCTCTGCTGCCCCCGCCGGCCGCCAGCCCGCCCGGAGCCCGCCGCGCGTAACCCCTTCGGCCCCGCCCCGCCCCCTTGTCCCCCCCTGCACCTCCCTCCCCCTCGCGCCTCTCCCCTTCCTAGTGCCCCCCGGCTCCCTGCGTCTCCCCCCTGTCCCCTTCCTAGTGCTCCCCCCCGGAACCCCAACCCCCTTGTCCGCCCCCGCACCTCCCTCCCCCTCGAGCCTCTCCCCTTCCTAGTGCCCCCCCGGGACCCCAGCCCCTACCCTGCCTCCTTGTCCACCCCCACACCCTCCTCCCCCTCGAGCCTCTCCCCTTCCTAGTGCCCCCCCCCGGGACCCCTGCCTCCTTGTCCGCCCCCACACCCTCCTCCCCCTCGAGCCTCTCCCCTTCCTAGTGCCCCCCCCGGGACCCCTGCCTCCTTGTCCACCCCCACACCCTCCTCCCCCTCGAGCCTCTCCCCTTCCTAGTGCCCCCCCGCCCCCTGCATCTCCCGCCTGTCCCCTTCCTAGTGCCCCCCGCACCTCCCTCCCCCTCGAGCCTCTCCCCTTCCTAGTACCCCCCGGGCCCCCAGCCCCTGCCTTGCCCTGCCCCGCCCCCCTGACCTCCTGCGCCCCCCCGTCCCCTTCCTAGTCCCCCCCTGGGACCCCAGCCCCTACTCTGCCCCCCAACCTCCTGCATCTCCCACCTGTCCCCTTCCTAGTGCCCCCCCAGGTCCCCAGCCCCTCGCATCTCCGCCCCGCCCCACCGCCGGCATCGACCGGCCCCGCCTCGCTGCCCCTGCGCACCTCCCCTTCCTACTGCCCCCCTGACCTCCTCCCCTGCCCCCAAGCCCCCACACTCCTCGCTCCCCCAAGCTCCTGCACCCCTCCCCTTCCTACTGCCCTGCCTCTGTGCCCCCTCCTACTGCAGCCCTGGACACGCCAGCTCTGCCCCTACACCCCTCCCTACTGCAGCCCTGCATTGCCTCCCTCTCCCACTCTGCCAGTACCCCTCAATCCTGACCTGTAGCCCTCTGCTCTCCCGCCTGGCTCTCCCTCACACACCATCCTATCCAGAGTATTTCTTTACTCTCTGTGTGACCTAGTCTGGCCTGCCCAGGGTTAGTTCCTTGCAGGGAGTGAAATAAGCTGCCTGGAAGGGGCACAATCCAACCCTGCTGTGGGGGGCACCCAGACAGGGCTGGTGGGGCAAGGAGGATGCAGCCAGCAAAGCAGCTGTGGGAGCTGGTTCCCAGGCACTCTGCACTGGTGCACATGCACCCCCACAGCCATCTACCCCAGATGGTGCCATCTCTGGGCAAAGGGCCCAGGCAGGGAGTCAGGCAATGCCCCCTCCATGCATGGGGGTCTTGCTGGGCCAGGCCCTGCAGTTCCACGAGGGTTGCTGGTCTACCCCCAGGAGCCCCTGCTCTGAGCTAAGGGAGCCTATCTCCACTGGGACCCCAGAGCCTAGCCATTGCCCCAGAGATGCAGAGTGTGGGCCACCAGCCCTGCTCCCAGCAGGCTGCTACACACCCCTGCACGGCTTGCCCCATGTCCCAGCTGGCAGGGCAGTGCAGGGGCTCTGACCCACACCCCGTGGTAGAGCCCTATGGCTGCAGTAGCTTCTCTCAGCGAGGGAGGGATGGTCCTGAGTCCCACCTTGCCTGGCACTGGTACCTGGCTCTGGGCATTGGCTGGGCAGTCTGGCAAGCCAGCTTCAAAAGCAGCTGATCAATCAGCTCCTCAGCTGCAGCAGGCAAAGCACTCACCAGCTGTTGGCAGGCAGCTGGGCTTTTCTGATAATCAGTACTCAGGTTAAACAACTTTTTCCTAGAGATAATTGGCAGGAAGAAAAGCATCCATCCCAGCCTTATTCTTGCTTCACGAATGCTGGAGTGGTGCTTGCTGGCTGCTCTGGGCTGCCCATGGCACACCAGGAGTCGGGAGAGGCAGGACTAGCCTGGAGCATGTTAATGGGGGAAGGAGCTTTTCCCCCTCTATTGGGGCATCCCCAAGGTGCTGTTCTTCTCCAGGGGAATTGCTTGGTGCTGTGGAGATGCCAGGATTGCCATCCGGCACAGCCCTACGCAATCCCCAGGCACCTGCTGTGGGGACTTGACTGAGCCTGAATTTGGCAGGAGGGTCCCCGTGTTCAGGAGATGGCTCTGCCTCCCTGAGGTGGGCACCATCAAGCCCATTTTGCCCAGGACTCTAACCTACCATTCTGTCCTCCCCAGCACTCGCCCTGGTCTCTCCTGTACCAGACCCCTGGGCCCCATCTCGTCTAGCTTTCCTTGGAAGAAGGTCATGTATTCCTCTGCTACGTCCACCTGTATTGTTAGTAGCGAGCCCACCTTGGGAAAGTGTTCACGCCAACCCACAGCCTGCACCCCTGCTAGCAGAGCACAGGGCCAGCATGGTCATGGGGGCAAAGCTGAACACTGGGTTTGCTAAGGCGTGTTGGGGATAAAGGCACAATCCCCTCCCTGGAATCTTACAGTCCAGGCTAGCTCGCTTGCGGTTTGCACTGGAGGAGCACTTGGGGTACGTCTGTGCTGCAATTAAAAACCCACAGTGGGCCCGTGCCAGGTGACTTGGGCTCGCAGGGCTCACGCTGTGTAGGATGGTGGTGGGTCGGTCTGTGGGCACCAAACCAGGCTGTCCCAGCACAGTGGAACTGTAGCAAGCCAGTGTTGTGCTGCACCCAGCAGGGAGAATAGAGGCTGTGATCTGCGGTGCCTTGTAACGAGCTGTGGTGAAGCCAGGAGAACGCGGCTGGGGCACAGATGGGGCCTGGCCGAAGCAGCTTTGTGGTCTAATGTCATCAGCAGGGGGGCTTGGCCCTACTCCAGTCCCCTTTAAGCTGAGCCAGTGTTGGGGAGTTCAGGGCAGGATTATTCTGCAGCCCAGAGCCAGGGCCCAGCTGCAGGACGATTACAGCACTTCCATAAGCAGCAGAGCAGGGCTTTTTCCTGGGTCTTCCCTGTAATGCGGTAGATTAACACAGCCAGCTGGTGGAGCCATGGGGCAGCTGGCTAGGGCCCGAGAGGAACCACAGGTCCCAGCTGCAGCCAGGGAGGATCCCAGCATTGAGCGAGCCCATTGGACGCTCCAGCCCCAAAGTGACTCCACCTTGCAGTGTGCGCGCTGTGGGGCCATGGGATCTTGGGGCCAGTGTCACTAGTGGGAATCCTCACCACCAGACTCCCCACCAGCCATGCTGCTCTGCTGGAGGGGCGCCAGGCCGCAGGCAGAGTTCAACCCCAACAGCCATTATCCCCCAGCACCTGGAAAGCACCAGTGGCAGCCCCCTCACGTAGCCGTGGACCCAGCTAACGCCAAGGAAAGCGACAGCACATCAGTTTGAACCCATGAAACATCCACCCCATGCAAACAAACCGGCCAACGGTCAATGGATGGGACTTAGGGGTAGCTAGTCCACCAAGGGCGCTGCCAGGATGGTGGCAGCCAACTAGCCCAGAGTGCCACTAAGCTGGGATGTTGCTGGGGAGGATACACCCTCGGTGGCACAGGGGGTTCTTTGGCCTGTGCTATGCAGGGTGGGGGAGCCACAGGCCGTGCAACTGGTGCTGGCAGAGCCTGGGTGCAGGAGGCCCCGCTGGCCCATTACACAGGACAGTTGGACCAACAGGCAGCTCTGTGAGGCAGCGGGAGCCCTCCGATTCCTGGCTGCAGGGGAACCCTGCATCCCACAGCAGAACCAGGGAGAGGGGATTCTGCGCCTTTGGCCTTGTTCCTCCCCCTGCCCCCATGATAGTGTGAACAGGGGGCTCTGGCAAACCCCCCGCCCCGCCCCCCCCCCCAGGTCAGGAGCAGGAAGCGGCAGCAGGTGATGGAACATCTACACATGGAGGGCCCTGCCCATGGAGCCATCCCCATGAAGCTGCAGGCCCCGCTCAGTGGGCAGCTGTTCTACCCGAGCCTCCTCTAGCCACGTCTTTTTCAGCAGGCCTGGGGCAAGCGCAGGTAGAGCCCTGCACGGGACTATTTTATTGATCCCGCTCCTGTCCCACAGCGCAATACTCACTCCCGCAACGGTTCTTGCATTTTTATCCCACTCCCACCTGCAAAAACCTCAGATCCCACAAATCCCACAAGGGAGAGAGATTCTCCCCGGCCACTAGAAAAACCCAAGCCCAAACCCCACGGTTGGTTAATATATTAAATATATAAATGGAATTCAGATACAATTTTTACCACGAAAAGAATACAACAAATCTTGTTTAACCTAGGTAAAAACACTAACTCCTGTTACAATAGACATCAAAACTCTCTCTAGCCCTCACTTAAATTTAAGTATTAAACCCCCCCCCTTTTTTTTTTTCCAATAAACCTGCTTTAGATTGCTGAAATTCGGTCTATGATAAACTGCTGTCTTGGGGACATCACACAGAACATCCAAACGAATTGCACCACAATTTTGCCTTAAAAGGTGCTGGGTTTTTTTTTTTTTAATGACTATAAAAAGTTAAGTGGTTTAAAAAAAACTGGAAGTTTTTAAACCACTTGAGCACTATTTTTAGAACTTTGAACCATCCCAGTCAAGTTATTTAGGGCAGGGTTATTATTGCTTTTTGAAAAACATTTACCAGGGAAACCGTGCACAGCACTGACAGTAAGCTGCTGCGGCAGTGACAGTCTGCACGTACGTGAAGTCACAGAACAACAAAACCGGAGGGGGATTCTCTGACCTGACCCGAGCCGGTGTACAGTACGGATTCACAAAGAGGGAGATAAACACGTAAAGGAAAGAGCAGCTCAAACAAAATAATTAGCAATTTCTCCAATAGGCAATTCTTGGTAAACTGATGAGAGATTTAGGGTTTTCCCACAAAATTACCAGTGTCTAGTTTTTTTGCCCACCCACAACAATGTACATTTTACCCACTCCTCCTATTACGGCAGCAGGTCCTGCAGGACCCCAGTCCCGCCGCGCGGGGCTCTAAGTGCAGGTAGCAACCTGCAGGAAGTGTCACTGCAGAAGGGCCCTGGAGAACCGGTGAGCTAAGCTAGGGCCTTAGGAGACAGGGCCACAGAACGCAAGGAAGTGGATTGGGCTAAGGCAGGGGGTGGGAGGGAGCGGGTGTGGAGCAGCCCGTGGGCAGAGGGAGCTGCTGCAGGTGGAACGGGGAGAGGGCAGTCTTTCCATGGGATTATCCTTCTGATTGCTCTAGGCCCAAGAATCCTTGTGCTGAGTCACCGGAGGTACAGGGAGGAAGGGGTTGGAGTCACAAGACTGCTTGGGTTACAGAGCCCATGCTGTGGGCCCGAGTTGGGGGTATGGGGTGTTTCTGGCACCCGTCTTGGCTGTGAAGGTAGAACTTGGGTAATGAGCTCCCAGTGTGAAGCAGCACAAGTGCAGCTGATCATCCACCACGAGCCCTGGGCTTTTTCAGAGTCTCTGCTTCAGTGGTCGTAGGCTGAGTTTGGTGGCAGGAGTGAAGTACTCTGGGTGCTGAGACAGGCACCTGCTGCCAGGGATGAAGCCATGTCACTCACTGGCAGACTAATTTGAGCTCCCCACTCTTCTGTCCATTGTTTAAGCGGGGAGACTAGAGCTGCATCCAGTGCTCCTGGGACACTGCTATTTACACAGCCTGCCTTAACCTCAGCCCCTGCCCCAGGCCCCTCTATGCAGGCATAGCTTGGACTGAAATGGTCTTTTACTGCAATGGCAGATCCAGCGTGGTGCTGGTCATTACACTTGCCCCCCCATCTCCCTGCATCTGAGACTGCTGTTAGGTACCCAGCTGCTGATTCCATTTTCTCAAGTGCATCATCTCATACTTAATACTTAACATCAGTGCAAAATCCTCAGTGTCCAGCCACCTGGGGGGCAGGTTTCATCTTTTTCTGGGTATTTTCTTCTGCTGCGTGTTACGCACAGCTGGGATCAGCAGAGTTCATGAGCTCCCTCACAAAACCAACAACAAATCATTCGTTTTCACATCACAATGAGTAGAAATAAAAGCAACCAAGGGTTCAGTAATGAACTGAGCGAAACCGAAAAGTGATTCCTTTATTAGCAGCATAAAAGGGGACCTGCAAAGGGAAAAAATTGTGCTTATGCCCCTTTGGGACTTTGAATTTAGCATCTATTGAGCTTCATGACTGATTCACATTCTGGAGACAGGAAGCCCTCCTTATTGACAACACTCCTGGCCCCTTCAGTGAATGTGTGAATGCTAACGTAGATCCACTGAGGTGTCCTCCAGGGTGCCTGAGCTATCTAAGGCTGTGTCTACTCACTGAAGTTGCCTGGGATCAGTTAAACCAATTTAAGGGCATCCGCAACTGGGGATATAACTGGATCTGTTGTGATCTGGTGCAATGGGTGTGTTTAGAGAAGATCTAGAAGGAAAAAACAAGCGAGAAAACACCCCAGCTCTTTATCACAAGCAGCTCAAAGGGCACATGCACCCAGTCCTATTAAAGTCCTTGGCCAGGTCCCCTGAAGAACTGGCAAGGCAGGCTAAATTCCACTGCTATTGGGAAAGGAGAGGAACGCTCGTTTTCCAGTTACAGTCACATGACGTGCTCCTGATGCGGCTGTGGAGCAAGCCTAGCCCAGATGGTTGGTGTCCCTATTTTATACAGCAGCTTCAGTGCGTCACAGTGGCTGAACAGATGACATGGTCCTTGGCATCGCTTCATTTCAGTGCACTGTCAAACAAGACTAACTCCACAAACTGAAGGGGGGGAAGTTTACTACTTAAACTACATCCAACACATGACAAGCTGCTCTACTCTGAAATGTCATCAGAGCAATTTTCCTCCTTCCAGATAAGGCGGGGAGGGCCTGTTTCAGGACACGTTTTACAACTTTCCATCATTCTGTCAAACCCAATTCTGCATGTTCTGAGCTCAGGGCTCAGCCACGCTGGTTCCTTAAAGACAGCAGCAGAAGCAGAGCACTGTTCACAAACAATGCAAAAGAGGTTTATTGAATCAACACAGTTAGACCACGCCCAGTACAGCAACATTTGCAATAAATTAGAGAACCAAACCTATCATCCTAGTGCTAGAAAATACACTGTTCACACACGCAATGATTTCTGCTAGTAGCACCCAGCAGAGTTACTGAATCAAGTCACAATTAAACCATTCCTTCAATACTGCAAAAACAATGACACAGGGGAAAAGCAGCTGGAAAGAAACTCTTGCATCATTATGAGGGTGTTAGCTTGGCACTGACATTGCTAACAGGAGAACCTGGATTTCCAAGTTATCAGGGAATGTGTTAACAGCGGAACTTAAAGCCAGAAAAGTCTCCCGAGGCTGAGATTCCGGCTCTCCTGAGGCAATGTTCAGAGTGCCTGCCTGAAAGGGTTGCGTCTGAGTAGGGGTCAGGAAGGAAGAGGAAAAACCTCAAACAGCAAGAATCATTAATGCACAATGCAATCCTGATGCACAGACCACGTCCCCTGCAGCCTTGTTCCTTTCGAGGAGGTTCAGCGAGATATAATCTGCAGCTGATATATATCAGTCCAACAGGCATGCAGGCTGCAGGGTTACTGTTTGCCCACGGCACGGTGCAACCCGCAGGGCCAAGTTTCCCGAAGCTCAGCTTGGGCCATCGGTGGGTGGGTTACCTGTCAAGCTGAACCTGCTATCCTCACTGACAGCCGCTCAGTGCCACCAGCAGGGTGCAGGTGAGAATCACAACTGTGCGGTAAGGCATACCCCAGGTCCAAAGGCACAACCAAGGGATTTGCAGGGCCATTGGGTCTCAAGTCATTCACATGCCAAGCAAGAGGCAGGCTCCTGAAGGGTAGGCAAATCATGGGAACCTGAGCTAGAGCAAAGACACAAGACTTGGCTCTGCTTCCAGCACTCAGACCATTCAAAAGACCATGTTAGGGAGAAGGGGAATTCATAGAATCATAGAAAATCAGGGTTGGAAGGGACCTCAGGAGGTCATCTAGTCCAACCCCCTGCTCAAAGCAGGACCAATCCCCAACTAAATTTCGAGAGAGAAGCCAAGGGAATCCGTGGCACAACACACAATGCAGGCTGCAGTCCCAGTGGAGAACGCTCTTGAGAGGAGCCCTCCCCAGACACGAGGAGCAGGGACCTGAGGCATCATCCCACTGACTGCACGCTGCCCAGTGCACCTTAGAGCAGGGCAGCTGCATCAAGCTGCCATGGTGGGAGACTCGGTTCCCATGATGGCTAGCCGTTCTCTCTCCACTAATTTGCTCCAGTAAAGCAGCTCTGTTCCAGCGGTGAGGGCACTGAGCATAACACTCCACAACTGTGTAATTTCACAAAGGGGTGGAGCGTTGTGCAGTGGGGACCCCGGCCACCTTAGAAGCAGAAGTGCAAGGCCAAACAGTTGGTTGCTACACCAGCAAACCCTAGCAGTAGATGCTGCAGTTAATTTTGCCGGAGTTGTTCCCTAGGGCCTGGCTCTGAGTAACTGAGGAGCCAGGTGCTGCCAAGTCAGATGCTGGGGGCGTGGTGCCCAGCAGCAGTTGAAGTTGCAGTGCAGTATGGGTCTGCAGCTTCGCTGTCCTGCACAGCCTCCTCTCCAGCACCAATCACACCCTGCAGTGTTCCTACGCATGGCCTTGACTCAGACCAAAGGGAGGCGAGCACTTAGCCCCACCACACCTCCTGGGGGATTATCGCCTGCCCTTAGCGTGAGGAAGCCTTGTCCGTGCCCGCTGGGGATCAGCTCCCCGACTCTACGGGCGCCGCACACTCCTCCCGAGGCCTCGCAGGTCCTGCTCTCGCCACAGATGAGCGATGCGCCCACTCCAACCCGCCAGCCCTCTGAGTGTCCCCCCGGAGCACCCAGCCCTGCTCCACTGGACGCAGGCAGAATTCACAGATTCGCTGCTCCCAAAGAACCAGGACCTCAGCTGAGCAGTCACCCCACAAGCCTGCAGCACAGAGCTCCAAGGAGCAGTGACGACTGGGGCAGTGACAGGGCACTTCTGGGCACTGAGGTACGACTGAGGCACCTGCGCTGTGCCTGGCCCCCAGGGCATTTCACCCCGGAGCATGGTGCCCCAGGGCATGCCAAGGGAGGCCCCAAAAGGAGACACCCCACCACTTCTGCCCCTCCCACTGCAACCTCAGTACAGAGCGACAGCAAACGGATATGACCACACTGCAATGGCAGCACCCAAGTGTCCTACCTGCCACACAGCTGTTAGCACTGAAAGGGGCAGCGTTACCCAGTGATTAGAGCAGCGGATCAGGAGTCTGGGCTTTGCAGAGTTCTCCCGCCAGCCCTTTCCCAAAGAGGCCTTGTGTGACCTTGGCCAGACACTGCACAGCCTGTCTCCATGTCCCCCTTGCTCAGTGAGGTAGCAGTGCTCAGAGGACTCTCCTCGCAGGGGTCGCGAGGCTGAATTAATGTCTGACGAGCAGCACACACCCTGGGAACAGCTGGCTGGCCTCCTCCTGGCAAGGAACGCGGGCAGCTCCACTCTGAAGAGCGCCTACAAACAGCCCTGTGGGTCCCAAGTACACTCGATCTGCCCAGCCGATGAGCAGAGAGCACGTGCTAAAACCACAGGGACTGGGTAGCCAGGCAGGGGCTTGTTATGGCTCTTGCATCATCTACAACTGGAACTTCATTCGCAATTCTGTTCCTGATGAGTGAACCAGCTGCGGCAGGGCCAATGGGATAAAAGCAGCCCATGCTTCTCTCAGCCAGTAGTAGGCAGCAGCTCTGCACCTTGGTACGCAGCAGGAGCAGCAGGCTTGGAAAATGAGGAACTGCAGTTTATACAGAGACCTTTTCAGAGTAGAACTGCACTTTAGTCTGTGGCTCTCCTGGGCCAGAGAATATCTGCCATATCCAATACACCAGCCATTGCATGCCCCACTAGACTCACTCGGTACCCATCTCACCACATTATCCCTGGTGAGCAGCACTCGGGTATTCCATTGAGAGACCAAACACGCCATGTCCACGCCACTCTTTGGAGAAGGCAAAAATTCCTACTCAGGAGAGCCCGTCTGTCTGATTGGGCAAAAGGAAAAGAAAATCCAATATCGCACGCACACGTGCGCACATACACACTCCCTCCCTCCTCATCTTGCTCTCTCTCACCCAGATGCACATGCCCTCCCTCACTGCAAACACCAAGGTGAGAGTAATCAACTGAGGCCTCTCTCCGGCACCCAGACATGCCCTCCCTGGGTCCTAGTTTGGGGTGTGTTGGGAAGGTGGCCCCGGCTGAGGTACGCCCTGCATCGCAGCAGGTATTGTGTGATTTAGAAAGGGAAAGAGGCAGATCTCCTGGAAGTGATGGCACTTCAGAGACAGCCAGGGACTGAAGCCCCATCAGTTCAGAGGCTGGCTGCGCTGGCAGCCACCTGTGCAGGATTTGGGGTGCCCAAGCCCTGCGGGCTCACAGGTGGATTTGCTGTGGCTGTTTTCTCAGCAGCCAGCCTTTGGCTTGTGGATCAAGAACGGCAGCTTCCCACACGAGTTCGTGATCTGGGTTTAATGAGTCCATTGCTGGAGGAGAGTGCTGAGATGGCTCTCTGGGGTCTCCCAGGGAGCTCACATTTGGCTGCTGAATCGCATCCTGAAGAAGCGGTCCCTGATGTATTGCTCACTGTCCCCCGCCACCTGGCTCAGCCAGGTCACCCTACTGTCAGCGATGTCCTCTTTCAGCTTTCGCTTGGTGACAGACACCCAGCCTGGCCCCTTGCTGCTCTGCGGCCCAGTCAGCAACACGTAGCAGGCATGCCGGCTCCGCTCAAACAGCACCGCTGGAACAGAGAGAAGGGGGTTACAGCCAGACCCCTGCCTGGGACAAGGGCAGATCAGAGCACTGCAGCCAACCGAGACTCCGCAGGCTCTGTGAGAGACGACAGTGCGAAGGGACAGCTGCCACAGGCAGCGTCTCCACTGGAGGGGCCCAGGGAGCAGCACTTACCGTCGAAGGCAACTATTCGGTCTGGGCTATTGTTCAGCTCCAAGAGAACATTGGGGTAGGACGGATGGAACAGATACAGATTCTGGAGAGCCACTTTGGAGCCCTGAAACAAACAGGAGGCATCAAGGCGGGGGAGCACTTCATCCTGCCCAGTTGGGCAGAAGCCACAGTCAAAACACGCACCTGGCTTTGGGGAAATAAGCCAGGTTTTGCCGAACTCTGCTAGTTTGTGCCAGATGGCACCAAGCGTGAGAGCCGGGCGGCAGACATTACCAGTCCAGCCTGGTCGGACGAGTCCCATCAGTACCAGAGCTGGGTTTATTCACTGGTCTGAAAGGCCCCCCGTCTGTTTCTCATAACATTCCTGAATGCCCCAGGTGCCCATCAGCCACACACAGGGCACAGAGAGGGGGAGGGTTCAGGAAGACGTACCCAGCGGTCATGGGGAAAACATTTAGCACGTCTGCACACAACTATCAGGCTGATGTTGACAAAGGTCCGAGAAGGAGCAGCGTCATCACTGCCCCTCACTCAGCTCTCACAGCCCCTCCCCTGGCTGGTTCCCAGCACCAAGAGGCTGACCTGCCAGCTGACTTTCCCCATCCAAGTCGCTGTATGCCACGGCCACGGTGAGACAGACAACGCTTGAGGGGCACCAGAGAATCCACGGCCTCAAAACAAGTTCTATAGGGGCATTTGCTGTAAGTATGAAAAATCAAAGCTAACCCTCCACTGGGAGCTCCAGCACCTGCAATTTTCTAACCGCTTGGTAAAGACACTAAGGCACCAAGTCTTCCAGGTCGCCACCTCCTCCTGCCGGATGAGCTGAGCTGCCCCCCGCTTACCAGCCCCATCCACAGCACACCAAAACACTTGCCTGCCAAGCTTTCAAGAGCCAGGCTGTGAATGAGTAAACTGCGGCTTAAGAACCAGCTAGTTGCTCCACAGTCTAGCGAGCACTTTTCACTGCGCAAAGCAGAGACCCCTCTGCTCAGCTCCTTAGGCCTGGGCTGCATCCCCTGCAAAGCCAGCACGGCACCACAACTCGGGGTGGGGGTGATGTGGATTCAGCCCAGGTCATCACAGGAGGGGAGCAGACTGTGATACTGACCAAGGGTACTGGGCCACACATGAGCAGAGGAGAGCCTGGAGGGACGTGTCCAGGCACGTGTGTGCACACAGTACAGGAAGGGCGAAGTGCTTCCCCGGGGCTAGCAGATTTCAGAGTGTGCGTGTGTGCATGGGTGGGGGCGGCTGAGGGGGTGTCCTGCAAATTCCGGTTCAAAATCAGAGTGAGCCTAAGGGACTGCCCTCACCGTTTCATTGGCCTCTGCCTGGTACTCTCCCCAGAAGAGGAACGTGGACCGGTGATCTGCAGTATTGAGAGTGGCTGGCCTTGGACTCCCTGCTCTTGAATTCAGCTCCAGCTCCCAGTGGACTGCTCCAGAGCCACCCTCAACAATCATGATCTGGCAGAGAAGAAAGACCAGAGCTTACCTTGAAGCATGCAGCACACAGAGAGTCAGGGGCCCAGCTCCACACCTCCCTGAGGGAACAGTGCTTGGCTACATGGGGAAATCAGATCAGGGCACGGTAGCTGAACCCAGACTCCACGGAATGAGCTGCCATTTGGAATCTGTGCTCTAGTTCCCCCTCAGACCGCTACAATTTTCCATTGCTTCAATCCCAGGCTCCTCTGACTTTCTCAGCACCTATCCTGGGTATTTGCTCTCTCTCCAATTTGCGGGATGATCACAGCTGAAATGGACACCATGGAAACATGCATGATGCAGCCACGAAGGGGGCACCTAGGGGCCTTTATGTGTAGTTAGCCATGTCAATGCAGAGTCACATCTAGAGGTGCTGTGAGAAATCAGACCCAGAGCTCTGCCTTTGGATTCACCTGTCATTTATGGTTAGTTACTTGCAGGAGGGAAGAACTCCACACACTGTCTGGGCTGACGAAGGAACCTCCTGGAGAAAGAGCTGCACATCTCAGCAAAGGCCTTTGACACCTATCAAGAGAGCCAGCTCCCCTCCGCCCAGTGCAGGGCTAACTCCTTGTGCACATGGTATTCGAGCCCAACCAAACACAGACTGTAGCCAGCAAGTGAGCAATGAACGGGGGATCAAAGCAAAGAGCTTTCAAACCTTCTTCCTGTTGGGTCCAACTCCACTTTCAAGGACTATGTGGAGAACGTCAGGTGTGTAGTAACCAAACACTGGCTCACTGCAAGAGAGACAGGAGGAGAAGGGGACTGAGACAAGGTACCGAGCAGCCAGGGAACAGGTGTCTCAGGCCCAGTGCCTGTTTGTCTAGAGCAGCCTGTACCCAGCCCACACCTAGCCTGGTGAGAGACTCAACTGATCCCACAATGGCTCAGCATTTGACATTATTAACTGGAAGAGCTGGGGGTCAGACTCCTTTTTTCCCTACGCTGGAAGTTCTGCCGAAGCAGCACCCAGGTCCTACTTCTTCCCTGAGACAACAGGAACTTCAACCCTTGAGGCACAGGTAACCAGGCTGGGGCACAGAAAGGGGAGGTTCATGTAGTCAGCACTGGCCTTCAGAGAAGATGTAGGATTACCACCCCTTGGCACATAAGGTAATAAGCAGGCCAAGTTTCTACCCACGCATATGGCTACAGTATTTGGGTTGGGGTTGGAGCCAGGCTATTGGGGAGGGGGTTTGCAGCGGAAAAAGACACACACTACGTACCATGACCTTCTCTGCCCTCACTCCCTGCTGTGGCTCCCAGGGAGAGACAGTCTTGGAAGAACCACAACACAGCCCCCCACTCCACGAATTGCAGCCATGTCCGTAGGAAATAGACTGATTGAATGAGGCTCCCCATTCACCCTCCCTAAAGTCAAGGCAGGGCGTCAAGCTCTCCCCTTTGTGAAGGGATACTAGATCATATGAAACATGCACTTTACACGAAGGAGGGGCTGTTTATCCCTGGAACTCAAGTGTCATTGGGCAAACTCTTGGAAAGGAGCATCTCTCTCCTGCAATGGCAGCATTACCTCAAGATGTGGGAGGCGTTGACTGTCCACAGGGAGTTAAGAGTTTGTCCATCGAGAAGCTCAGCCATGTCTGACTTCACAACCAAGATATTCTCCCCCGATTTCCCGGGAACCTTCACCAGGTAATGAATGTCTCCAGAGCTGAACAAGGAGATGCCAAGACAAGGAACTAGTGAGATTTCCTACCTGAGAATACCACTTTATTCTTAGCATGCCCGATGCAAAAATCAAAGGCTATCATCCCGCCAGGAAAAGGAAAGGTAAACAAGACCATGCGCCAGGCCAAATGTCTCTGCTGAAGCCAACATTTGGGGAGGAGAAGTTGCAGGTTGCCAGCTCTCCCCATCCAACTGGGCACTCTCCCTTCACAGAGAGCAGCTCTCTTGGTTGCCACATGCAAGAGAAGTAAAGCATTCACTCTCCCTGCACTCCAGGTGGCTGTATGAGGAAAGCACTCTAGACTTGTGCCCTTTCTTTCTTTACAACTGACGGATCTCTGCAACCTGGAAGTGCTCCCTTCCCTCTCTGGGGAATAAAGAGATTTCCCTGACTGGTCACTGCATTAGAAATTCAGGTGCTGTCTAGTGAGTGAGTGACCAGAAAAATATGTTCTGGAAAATTCCCTTATCCCCTGCAGTTACACGCGATTCTGGTACCTACCAATCTCCCGCACTCCCTGATCTCTGCCCTCATGCTTTAGCCATATCCAAACCCACAGCCCGGTCAGTAATCTAGGGGAGAGTTAAGGTTGTGTGGCTCGTGTGGAAACGCGTTTGGATGTGCAGGGTTTAACTAGCTGTTGGAACTGAAAGGATGTCTGTAGTGGAGCTGAGGCATCAGAGCGCGTGGTGGGGAGCAGGAAAGTTTGCATTGCTGTGGATTTGAAAGTTCGTTTAACTGACGGTCTCATTTTGAGAGATTGCACGGACTGGGACTGTGCTTTACCCATAATGCAGTTGGCTGTTCATCACCATGCGCGCGCATGCACGCATTCCGGTTTGTACTGATGGTTTTAGTCTAAACGAATTTGAACTGGAACTCTCCAAAGCCTAAAACTTGGCAGAAATCATAGAAATAAAACATGGAGGAGACATTACACCATCCAGTCCATCTCCCTGGGGCCAACACAGGACTGGGACGTGCAGGGCATTTGATCTGTCCCGATTGTTGGGCGTCCCCCACGCCTTCCCTCTGGCGATGATTCCACAATCCAATAGATCTTGCTGCCAGGAAGTTTTTCCTGCTATTTAGCCTCAATCCATGCTCTCAAATTCATCCCTTTCCCCCTATTCTAACCCCTGTGTACCACACTCACTACTTCCCCTCTGTCTTTGGTGTCTTCCCCAACCAATATATAAGCAGAATTACATCCTCTCCACTTTGTTGTCACTTACTGAGTCAGTTCCCCCAGCCCTCTCCTCATTGTTTGGCACTGGAACATGCTCCTGGACAAGCCAAGAGCAACACTGTGAAGCGGATCTTAGAGACAGCTAAACCACACTGTTGCATGCTTCAATCAGTGGATCAGAGGCCCCACGTATAAATCACAAGGTCAGGAGGATGTAATGCTGCTACCTGAGAAGAGGTATGTGATGTGTGGGGCTCTCGACCTTCTTCTCCCACTGAGAATCTTGCTTCAGGCTGGTGAGTTTACTTTCCATCCCAGTTGCCATGCTGTAGAGATCCTTCAAGGAGTAGCCATAAAGAGAATTTACTGTGCAAACAAAGAGAAATCAGGATGACAGAGGAAGCTTACCTTGACCATTGTGCTGAACTGTGCAAATGAGGCCTTCTTTCCTGTCCTTTCCGCTCAGAAATTGTGCGTCAGATCCTTAGGGAAGCACAGACTAACTTAGCAACCTGCCATACACTCACTTGGCATTACCTGTGTTTCAAACTTACATTTCAATGCACTGTCCAAAGAACATGTAAAGAGCACACTGTGGGTTCACAAGATGAGCTCTTATTTTCAGTAGAGGGCTCTTTCTGTTGCTTTATCTTGAATGTCATTTCAGAACCTGGAAGCTAGTCTTGCAAGAATGTGGAATACTGTACGACAAGCTGGAAGAGTATTTACGCATTTCAAAGTGATGGTCACTTCTCCATACTGGGAGCATATTTAGCGTTCAACCAGCAAGAGGCCTTACCAGTATTGAAGAGAACGTAGTAGGAGCCAGTCTTAGTCACATGTATAAGATAACCAGGCCTTGCACCCAGACTCAATCTGCCACTGGTTCCAATCTGCTCACCATTCTTCCCCGAATAGATGAAACTTTTAGTCTACAGAGAAAAGGAAAACCCTAAGAATAAATACTTATTAACACCACTGCTGCAGGTTAGCATTCTCCTGCTGCTGCAGCCCAAACCCTTGGGGAGGCTGATGGCGTGAGATGGAAAGGTGGCTGCCTGGGCATAGCTTGCACTGTGGCTTGCCCATCTTCTCCACACATCAGAAGACACTTTACATGCCTCGGATCACTTTTTGCTGTTGACTTAAGACAGGGGTTTTCAAACTGAGCTCTTGTCAGGGGGTATGCGTGAAAAATCCTGTGATGGCGGATTACACATTTTATTTAGCAAGACTTTGCAATCTAATCATAGGTATACTACGACCCAATTCTAGATAAGGGTATGCGGTAGACTCCATTATTTGGAAAGGGGTATGTAGCCTTAAAACAGTCTGAAAAACCGTTAACTTTAGACAATGCAATTCACAACACACAAACAATTCGCCACATACCCATCTGGCCACTAGGTGTCACTGACTGGCATGAGCCTCAATCTTTTTGTTAAAAGAAAAGGAGTACTTGTGGCACCTTAGAGACTAACCAATTTATTTGAGCATGAGCTTTCGTGAGCTACAGCTCACTTCATCGGATGCATACCGTGGAAACTGCAGCAGACTTTATATATACACAGAGAATATGAAACAATACCTCCTCCCACCCCACTGTCCTGCTGGCAATAGCTTATCTAAAGTGATCATCAGGTGGGCCATTTCCAGCACAAATCCAGGTTTTCTCACCCTCCACCCCCCCCCCACAAATTCACTCTCCTGCTGGTGCTAGCCCATCCACAGTGACAACTCTTTACATAATCAAGTCGGGCTATTTCCTGACAAATCCATTTCTCATCCCCACCCCCATATACACACAAACTCACTCTCCTGCTGGTAATAGCTCATCTAAACTACCACTCTCCAAGTTTAAATCCAAGTTAAACCAGAACATCTGGGGGGGGGGGTAGGAAAAAACAAGAAGAAACAGCTACCTTGCATAATGACTTAGACTCCCAGTCTCTATTTAAGCCTAAATTAATAGTATCCAATTTGCAAATGAATTCCAATTCAGCAGTTTTCGTGGAGTCTGGATTTGAAGTTTTTGTTTTAAAGATAGCGACTCATGTCTGTGATTGGTGACCAGAGAGATTGAAGTGTTCTCGACTGGTTTATGAATGTTATAATTCTTGACATCTGATTTGTGTCATTTCTTCTTTACGTAGAGACTGTCAGTTTGACAATGTACATGGAGAGGGGATTGTGGACATGATGGCATATATCACATTGGTGGATGTGAGGTGAATGAGTCTGATAGTGTGGCTGATGTTTTTAGGCTGTGATGGTGTCCCTGAATAGATATGTGGGCACAATTGGAAGGGTTTGTTGCAAGGATAAGTTCTGGGTTAGTGGTTCTGTTGTGTGGTATGTGGTTGTTGGTAAGTATTTGTTCAGGTTGCGGGGTGTCTGTAGGAAGGACTGGATGTCTCCCAAGACTTGTGAGAGTGTTGGGTCATCCTTTAGGATAGGTTGTAGATCCTTAATAATGCGTTGGAGGGGTTTTAGTTGGGGGCTGAAGGTGACCGCTAGGGGTTCTGTTATTTTCTTTGTTAGGCTGTCTGTAGTAGGTAACTTCTGGGAACTCTTCTGGCTCTATCAATCTGTTTCTTTACTTCTGCAGGTGGGTATTGTAGTTGTAAGAAAGCTTGACAGAGATCTTGTAGGTGTTTGTCTCTGTCTGAGGGGTTGGAGCAAATGGGTTGTATCGCAGAGCTTGGCTGTAGCGATGGATCGTGTGGTGTGGTCAGGGTGAAAGTGGAGGCATGCAGGTAGGAATAGCGGTCAGTAGGTTTCCGGTATAGGGTGGTGTTTATGTGGCCATTGTTTATTAGCACTGTAGTGTCCAGGAAGTGGATCTCGTGTGGACTGGACCAGGCTGAGGTTGGTGGTGGGATGGAAATTGTTGAAATCATGGTGGAATTCTTTTTGTTGTGCATAATTAACCACAGGGCAAGGTTAGGCCTATTAACAGTAACAAAGGTGACTGTAGAACAACTGCTTGTGCGTTTTTGCTGTTGTATTAGGTAACAGGGAAATTTAGCTTTACAGGACGCTTATCTTACCCATGGCAGCAGAGTGACTGGCTAGGTCTCGCCTCACTGGTTTATTGAGGGAGGCTGTCTAGGACACCGGCTTTCCTCTTTCCTCTTTCTGAACAATGCCAGCTGAGCGCTAACATCCGTTTGGCCAGAAAGAAGAGCAGAGGGCACTCAGAGCAGCACCTCAGCAAACCTGACACCCGGAATCAGCAGACTATGGGCACCCTGAACCAAGCTCCCACGAAGGCTAGCTCTAGAAAACGGTAGTGCCAAAGAGAATGAAGAGCCCAACCTGCTCCCACTAAAGTCAATGGCAGGACTCTAGCTGTCAGAGCAGGAAACCTGTTGACCAGACAGGAACTTTTCGAGAACCAAGCTGGAGCAGACACCAAGCACTCTAGAAATGCTTCAAGCAGAACACTACACTGGGAGCCAAAATGGGGTCAGATTCATACGACTAGCCAACAACCACAGCTAGCAGAGCCAGCAGGCAAGATCTCCTGCATGGAGAGGGGCAGGGGAGGGCCTCTGAAGGCAGTATGTGGGTGACTGGGATGGGTAGGGACACAGAGGACAAAAAGGGGGAAAGAAACAGAAACAGGTGAGGAAGAGGAAAGCTGGGAGGTGGAGTGGGATCCAAAGGAGCCTCCCACTCAAGGGGTGAATGGGTGGGTGAGGTATGGTTTGATCTTGCTGGAGAGATTGACACATGAACTGGGAAGGGAGGTGAGCTGGGGAAAAGAAGGTTTGAAGTAGCTGGCACTCGGAGAGTTAGCTGAGGATGTTGATTACTTTGCGAATACAGACTAACACGGCTGTTCCTCTGAAACCTGTGATTACTGTAAGGGGACTTAAGAACTTGATTTTCAGAGGGAATGACATGGAAACTCATGACTGACTCACCTCCCCTGGACACCTATCCCAAGGTCCCCAGACAGAACAATAAACTTCCCAGTTGTTCCCAATCTCCCAGGCTGGGGAGCATTGGGGGGAGGGGGGGAACCTATAGTTCAACAGGTCATAAGTTTCTATCCATTGCGGAGAGTTCAGTTCTCATAGATTCCTACATTCCAAGGCCAGAAACAATCATTGTGATCTTCTAGTCTGGCCTCCTGTGTACCACAGGCCAGAGAACTTCCCCACAATACTTCCTAGAGCAGATCTTTTGGAAACACATCCAGTCTTGATTTAAAAATTGTCAGTGATGGAGAATCCACCACGACCCTTGGCATGATCTCATGGTCATTTGTGAAGCTCTTGAGCACTCGTACCCTATCAGTCCTCAAGGAGAGTAACGGCCAACACCATGTACACACTGGATTGGACCTATGGCAGAAATGTCCATGACTTGCTCCTCACTGTTCAGTTTAATACACAAATCAACTATTACAGATGAGAAGCGAATACATGCAGATGGCTGCCTGGCACAAATATGCATAGAAACAGACACAAAGCATAATGAAGAGCTTATGGCAGCACAAACTGTACTCCCTCTATTTGAGATTAAGATCTCAGCAATACTGTATTCACAGCCCTAGCCCCAAGGGCCTTTCAGGAAAATGGCCATTTAAACATCCACCCACCCAGCTCCTGGAGCCTATAAACTCCCCCACCCGTAGCCTGACTCTGCTGCCACTCTCAGGAAAGCCAGTAGATAGACCTTTCTGCTAATCACAATACTATCACTTTCAATCTCAACTGTATTTAGCAACAGAATCAATCCACTTAAAATAATGCTGAAATAAAAAGAAAACGGTACACAGTTCAAGCATAGAAGTTTCTGGTTATCAGGGAATAAGGTACAGATTATCAAGGGGTGCGAAATTCGGTTAGGAGTTGGTGGCATAAGGAATACATAATCTGCAATCTTCCTGATTGGGGGTAAAAGTTTAACCGGTCAAAGTACAGACATTGAGATATGGGGGTATGTTGTCCATATGATGGCTATGTTCAGGTGTGGAGTATAATGAGCGGATACGATGATGGGGATGGATCTACCCTCATTTGGTGGGATATAATGTTCAGTGAATTTATGGTTGCAGTTCATACAGTCCAAGGGAAAAAGCCTCTCAGTCCCTTTCCCATAGTGGATGCACGATGTCGTACCGGCTCACACCTCCTGGTACTGTCGGTGGCCAGTGATGTGTTCGATGTAGATGTCCCTGGACCATCGGATGGTGTCTGAGATATTACTCCAAAACTGGTTTCTTCCAAGCTGTAAAACTTAACATGAGGTTGCCCACACAGTGAGCTAAGGCCCATCTTCCATACTAAGGGCACGGATTCTTTTATCTGAGATGTGGCAGAACCCCAGCCCAGTGCTCCATCAGAAGGGTCAGAGGAGGGTTCACAATGGCTAAAGAAGTTGAACAGGATAAAGAAAACCTCAAACCCCTGACAAGGCTTTGCAGAACGTGGAATGCATTCAAACATTTTTTGGCTGCTTTATCTATAAGTTGTGAGATAAGAAGACGACACAAGTGGCGAGGGGAACGCATGAGAGGGAATAAAAAACAGAGGAGATGCAGGAGTAAGAAGAGGCGGTGGAATTTCTGATGACCGCGGCAACAGATCATAGCTACTGAGCTGCTCCAGTATTCTGTGTCTCTGAGAATGCAGGGCTCCCACACCTCCAGTGTTGTCCAGTTAAAGAGGGACACGTACAGTTGAAGTGGTACCACCTTCACAGTGTGGACAGCTATATTGGTATAAAGGTGCTTTTGAGCGGTATAGCTATTCCTGTTCGGGAAGGGAATAAGCTCTCTGGTATTAGTCACCTTTATATCAATATAACTGTGTCCACACTACGGGCTGTTCCAGTGTAGCTCTGTTCATAAAATCATCCCCCTAATTGACACAATGATACGAGTACAAACACAAACACTGTGTGTGTAAAGTACAGGCCTTGGTCAAATCTCAGGTATGAAGGGGACATCATCAGCTTAACAATCACAGTTCTGAAAAGCAAAAATCTTCAATTTACCTTCTCTACAGTGCTTTACAGGACCCAAGCAGGACATTTCAGAACCTGATTTCCGGGTGCTGGTTTGCATTTCTCTCAGCCTGGGCAAACAGACCAGGCCAGGCAATTGCACTCTTGTTCACCATCAAGGGGGCAAGGTACCATGGCTGGGCTGCAAACTCAGCAGGGGAATATTTACACCAAAATATAGTTTTCACTGGGATTTATATTTTTAGACCAGTGAAATATTTCTATTCATTTGAGGGAGCGGTAAAACTTTATTGGTCCAAAAGCAGCAAGACAATGTCTCTTCTGGGTGGGGAAGGGGAGGGGGAGGGGAAGGAGACCTGCCCTACTGAAACATGCTGGTCTCACAGAGGCCCCCAGGAGGTACTTCCCGTTTTAGAACACTCCTGTCACACCTAGCAGTATGTGCAAAGGGTCTATCATGGCTCAAAGTGATGATGTATGTACCTCATCTCCTGCAGTGATAAAGATCATCACGTCCTGAACACCGTCCCCATCCACATCTGGTATCTTTAATAAGGGAGTCACCACGGTATAATTAGCTCCAAAACTGTTAAACTGCCTCCATCGAACTTCCCCTGAAAAACACAGTTATTCCTGTTATGAGAAACATTTGCTCAAAATATGCAAAATATTTGCTCAGAATATTGTTTAGTGGCTCTGTGGGACTAAGGAACAATTTGTCATTACTGTTCTCCCACAGCCTGATAGCCCATCCTGCATCATCACCTAGCCCTGCACACTGGGGTGTCAGATTTGGCACTTCATAGTTACGGGTCTTCTTCGCATTTCAATTATAAATTCAGATGTTCATGGGTTTTATTCACAGATGAAGCTCAAACCTAGCTTTCAGCTGGGGAGCCTGAATGGAAAGGGCCTAAAATACAGCTGCACCAAGATGTCTTTCCTAATTCTAAACAATGAACAAAAAAGCATATGCTTGGCTGGGACTGGATCTCAAGTATTTTTGTGGGATCTGCTCTAGGAGAAAGATTTTTCTTTGACACTCTGAAGCTACTTCTGAGCAAACTCCAGATGGATGCATGAGCACATTACAGTATGCCACAGCTGAATTCCAGAGACACAGGGAAACTGGGAGAACCTCACCCCTACTGGGGACTGATGCCTGCTGATAACAGCTAACACCAGCCCAAAGCAGGTAAGTGGCATGAGGAGCTCCTTTGCATGACCTGTAAATTTGATGTGATTTATTGAGGGAAGATCCTGTGTGATTTTTATCAGACACCTAAGACACTACATAGAAGTCTAGATTTAAATGAATTAAACATAAGAGTGGCCATACTGGGTCAGACCAAAGGTCCATCTAGCCCAGAGTCCTGTCGGCCGACAGCGGCCAATACCAGATGCCCCAGAGGGAATGAACATAAGAACATGTCATCAAATGATCCATCCTGTCGCCCATTCCCAGCTTCAGGCAAACAGAGGCTAGGGACACCATCCCTACCCATCCTGGCTGATAGACCTATCCTCTGTGAACTTATCGAATCCTCCATGAAATTATCAAATTAAATTTAAGTAGTCTTCAGAAATTCCTTACTGATATCTTTGCTTCTGCACAGAAGTAGATCTGCCAACCTGGATGTTAGGGGACACAAAATCACAACTGAAGATATAAACTATACATGCTCAACGACTTTTAAAATAATGAAACCTCTGTCAGCATCTTACCCAATTTACCAAGATTCCTCATCAGACGATTTTGAAATCAAGACTGGATGTTTTTCAAAAAGATCTGCTCTAGGAATGATTGTGGGAAGTTCTCTGGCCTACAATAAGCACACGAACACAGTGGTCCCTTCTGGCCTTGGAATCCATGACTCTCCCGTATCTGAGGAATGGGCACACAGCCTGTCTGATCACTCCTTTGCCAATTGTTTTTGTGTAAATGCAAGCTGTGATATTTTGATTTTATATTTATCGTCCCATTTTACCAGCTCAGAAACAGCTAAAAGGGCTTTGCTTACATTTTCCAAATACAATTCAACCACCACACATATGCGGTTCAGACAAAGGAATTTTACCCTTCCAGGAGTGCAGGATAATCGCTGGCTCGCGGTCATAATGGCAGCAGTGCTGAATAGCAAGGAAACTTTGTGCTGTCTGCAGCAATGCAGAGCAGGTTGCAGCCTATGACCTCAACGCTCCCAAAGCTTTGATCCCAACATTAGAATTTGTTACTATCACAACAGATTTGGAATGGGAGGGTTCCTCTGAGGAGCGGAGGGTAGCGGAGAATTTTACCCCCACAGATAACAAGCAAACAGACAAGGGAGGGAAAGAATATAAGTTTTAGCTAGTGATACCCTGACTCCAAAGTTGCCTGAGGCTATGAAGGGAAGGCCAGGCTGATGCATCACATATTTAATTGCAGGTGGTTTTATTCTTTTCTGGGTAGACAGCAAAGTGAAGTTGGAGAAATGTGTCCCATTTCTCAATGTGTCCCTGCCTCAAAATGGAGTCTGATTTAGCACAGACACAGGCTTGAGCAATAGTCATTTCAATCCAACACGAGGGAACTTTGGTGCTTTCATGCCCTTACTATGATCCTCATTAAGGATGAACACAGAATCTAATTACCTCCAGTCTTCTGCTCAGTTGAGGGAGAATTTCAATGGCGTCCAGAGACCTAGAGTACAACTGCACTTCCTTAGGGTTTTCAGAGTTAAGGCAAGTAGAAGGCAATGAAAAAAAGAGATGGAAAATGACACATGCATATGCAGGAAATCTACAACAGAACGTACTATTTTGTCTGGGAAAGAACTGTGAGACTAAATCTTTGAGGTGGTGAAAGTTGAGTCTTGCCACTGATTTGAAAACAACCAGAGGAGGATGAAATGCGAGACTCTCCCTTCAGGATGGAGGGCTCCCAAGGCAACTATCTTAGAACAAAGATACCTGGGTAGTTAGGACTTTCGTTAAACCATGAAGTAGGACTCTCAGGGGAAAAAACCTTTTCAAACGCTCTCCTGGATTTTACTCCTAGGTTAAGCTACCACTGTCCTTTGGTGGCTCTCTAGGATCACTGATTTGTAAAGGGATTATTGGGAAAAAGCTGTTTATTTCTTTGACTTCTAGGTCCCTGATAGGGTGACGTTTGGAAGGCAATCACTGCCCTGTTCCGAAATATATCCTATATGAGCTACCCATGAAATGAACTGCGAGCTTGACATGCTTCACAAGGAAGAAGCTGAAGATTTCCATTGCACCAAAGACCTGGTGTGGAGAAGTGCTCACTGTATGGTATCAGGACAGAGCATCAAACAAGTAGACATTGCCATGCAGCCATCTGCAGGGGTGCTGGAACAATTTTTGTAGTGGGGGTGCTGAGAGCCAGTGTTATAATAGTAATAGCAGGGCAGTTACAAAGTTAGTCATACTAACTGTGTTTGTATATTATTGCCATTTCTCCCAGCCTTTTACTAAGCACAACAAAACAACCAATCAAACAAAAAAACTAAACACCACCTTGCCCCCGACACACACACACACACACACACACCCCTACCCCTCTTTGGGGACAGAGCGTGGCTCTTCATATGCCTTTGTACCAGCACCAAATACATTCAGGGCACTTCTATAAGGGAGAATGACCGGCTCAGTGTTACCAGACATTTAGACCCTGGCTGAGCGACATTCTGGAGTAGGCAGGAGAGCTTTTTCTACATTTTGTAACGTACCCATATTGAAGCAGAATTGCCTTGTCTACACAGGGATGTTAACATGTCCTAAATTTTGCCATTGAGCAACACCAGGGTTTACTTTGACCAGCTAACATGTTAAAACTACAACTTGGCTTGTCCACATTAGGATCTTAAAATATATGGGCTGACACCTTTTCTCCTGGTGAAGACAACACTTAACAAGGAGGCAGCACTATTTTCATGCTAGTCTTGCTCAATGAAAAAACACAGGACCTGAAAGCAACTAAACCAGGGGAGGGCAAACTACAGCCCAGATCCAGTTCATCAGGGTTTTCAATCCGGCCCACGGGATTGCCAGCCCCATGGTGCACTGGGGCTAAGGCAGGCTCCATGCCTGCCCTGGCCCTGCGTCACTCAGGAATGGGGAACCGCGGCCAATGGGAGCTTTGGGGGTGGTACCCCCAGGTGAGGGCAGCACGCAGCAGAGCCACCTGCCCCGCCCCCAGGAGCCATTGCCGGACATGCTGGCCACTTCTGCGAGTGGCACGGGGCCAGGGCAGGCAGGGAGCCTGCCTTAGCCCCGCTATGTGCCACTGCCACTCCAGAGCCGCTTGAGGTAAGCGGTGCTGGGCCGGTGCTTGCATCCCACACCCCAGTGCCCTGCGTTGAGGCCCTAAGCCCCTGTGTTGAGCCCCCTGGTGCACCCCAACCCCCTGCCCTGAGCCCCCTCCTGCACTCCACATCCCAACCCCTTGCCCTGAGCCCCTAACCCCCTACTGCACCCCAACCCTCTCCCGCACTTCGCACCCCCTGCCGAGCCCCCTGCTGCACCCAGCACCCATCCTGCACCCCAACCCCCTTGCCCTGATCCCCCTCCTGCACCCGTACGCCATGCCCTGAGCCCCAACGCCCTGTCCCCCCGCACCCCTTCTACACCCCAACCCCTTGCCCTGAGCCCCTTCCTGCACACCGCACTCCCTCCTGCACCCCAACTCCCTGCTCCAGCCCTACATTCATGGCCCTGCATACAACTGCCCCATCCAGATGTGGACCTCATGCCAAAAAGTTTGCCCACCCCTGAACTAAACCCAAAAGGGGCATGTAAATAGCTTCCATTATTTCTACAGATAAAAGGAAACTGTGCTGAGAGATTTCTTTCAAGACAGAGGTTCTGCTGATTGACCGGTAGTTACCCTTCCTCAGTTGATAGGGAGGAGGGCCTTTTAACCTTCTGGGACTGTTTTCTACCCCACCCTTGCAGTTGTCTGTCCTGAGTTTATCACAGTATGTATCATTCTTGTATCTAAAACTAGAAATATGAAGTATTACTCTGAAGTCCTATTGTAATTATGCAAAGTATGGGCCATTAATGGTGGTTTAGAACCTTGATAGCTCCCATTGACTAGGACAATTGGTTGTAAATGGCTCTGTTTACTTGCAAGCCTTCCTGTGTTCCTGTTTCAGAGTAGCAGCCATGTTAGTCTGTATCCGCAAAAAGAAAAGGAGTACTTGTGGAACCTTAGAGACTAACAAATAAGTTTTCGTGAGTTACAGCTCACTTCATCAGATGCATGTGAGTCAGGGCGGGAAGAATGAATGCTTGGGGTCTCACAGGACATGTAACCTGGTACTGGAATCCATCTTAAACCTGGTGCTTTTCCATTTAGAAGGAAGGGTGGGGACCCAGAGACACAAAAGATTCCCGCCTTGTGCCAAAGCTATAAAAGGAGGTGGAACAGAACAAAGGGGCTGCCAGTCATGAGAAATCCCCTAGTTACCACCTGAGCTGGAACTAACAAGGAGTGTACCAGGGGAAAGGATTGGGCCCAGACTAAGGAGGAGTCTAGTCTGTGAAAGAAGCTTACTGGAACATCTCTGAAGGTGAGATTTACCTGTATTCAGTTTCTTAATATATGAGGCTTAGACTTGAGTGATTTATTTTGCTTAGTAACTTGCTTTGTTCTGTCTGTTATTACTAGAAACCACTTAAATCCTACTTTTTATACTTAATAAAATCACTTTTGTTTATTAACTAACCCAGAGTAAGTGATTAATATCTGGGGGAGCCAACAGCTGTGCATATCTCTCTATCAGTGTTACAGAGGGCGGATAATTTAGGAGTTTACCCCGTATAAGCTTTACACAGAGTAAAACAGATTTATTTGGGGTTTGGATCCCATTGGGAACTCGGTGTCTGGGTGCTGGAGACAGGAGTACTTGCTGAGCTGTTTTCAGTTAAGTCTGCAGCTTTGGGGGCGTGTTTCAGACCCTGGGTCTGTGTTGCAGCAGGCTGGTGTGTCTGGCTCAACTAGACAGGGTTCTGGAGTCCCAAGCTGGCAGGGAAGACGGGCTCAGCGGTAGTTTCGGCACATCGGGTGACAGTCCCAAGGGGGTCTTTGTGACCGAACCTGTCACACCTATTATATCAATATCCTCATTCAATACCAGGCACTCAAGTTCATCCATTTTAATATTTAGAGTTACTGCATTTGTATACAATCACTTATAAAATGTGTCAAAATTTAGTTTTCTCCCTTCATGTGATGGGACTGAATAGGACTCTTTCATTTGCCTATTTCTCTTCAGTTTCTACCTGTACTTTATCGATATATATCCTCTCCTGTTTCCTAAGTTATAGAGCCAGGCTGTTAATAAATCCTCCCTAAGGGATGTCTCTGTCTGAACCGTGTGTTCATCCACATCTGTTGGCTTTCCCCCAGCGTTTAGTTTAAAAACTACTCTAACTTTTTAATTTTACTTGCCAGCAATCTCACTCTGTTTTGGTTTAGGTGGAGCCCATCCTTCCTATATAGGCTCCTCCTTTCCCAAAAGATTCTCCAGTTCCTAATAAACCTAAATCCCTCCTCTCTACACCACTGTCTCATCCACCCATTGAAACCCTGAAGTTCTGCCAAACTGGCCCTGCATGTGGAACTGGAAACATTTCAGAGAATGCTACCACGGAGGTCTTGGTCTTTAATTCATTGTCCTCACCTGGACTGTTGGAGGCAAAGTAGCTGGGCTGTTCCCCCTTCGGAGAAAGAATCTCCTGAATGGGAGCTGTGAAAAGGCTGCTTGGTGGATCTACAGTTAAAATCTCCAGGCTATTTTCTGTAACAGAATAAGGCTGGGAATCCTTTTGAATAGGTGGAAACTTGATTAAGAACAAATTCATTCAGCTCTGATGAATCCTTAAATGTGCTCTGTGATGGCTCCTTTAGACGTTAAATCCCATCAAAGGGAGCCAGGGCTGACCAGGTTAACTTTGATGGTGCAATCAATATTCACAGTTTTTCAGTACACCTCAGGCAACTGTACTGGATAACAAGGGCCTGGAACTATGCTGTTTTTGTGAAGAGGAATTAGAAACTTTAGAGTCGATGGCAGAACAGGAGAAAGAAAAGTGTGCCAGATTTCTCTCTGAATTCGGTACCCTTCTTTGTGTGTTATGAAGGGACCTTTCCCCTGGAATGAGCTACCTGGGGGGAGGGAGGAACTGCTGATTTTAAGTGGCCCTGGAACAGGAATGTCAGCTTAAGTGGAGCTTCAAAAAAGGATGGAGCATCAGAATTCTCCAATCTCAAACATGTTTTTGACCTGTCCATCCAACTATTTCCAGTGTAGATGGGAGGGAGGGGGGAGGAGAAGAGGCACACAGGAAGTTAGAATGAAGGCCCAATGGCATGGCAAGGGGGAAGGAAATGTGGGGGAGGAGAGGAGGCACACAGGAGGGGGAAAGGGGAACTGGGGGACACAGAGAGTCCCTGGCCTGAGTTTAGCAAAATATGCTTTGCGCTGACCATTGCCCCCCTTCTGGTTTCCCAATTTTCCCCCAAATCAATAGGGTTCTGTCCACTGATGGCTAGAAATTTTGGAATTGAACGCATTTGGTGTTCCAAAGTTATCGCATTTTAGACAGACAGAGAAATGCCATCCAGATGAATGTCGGACCTTGCTTTGCTCAGCCAAAAGCATAATTATTTGAGCTGCCCTTCCTAGCAAACTAGTAATCTGAAAATATAAGTCTGATATCATCCCTGAGATGCAGAAAAGATATACTGATACGCAGAGGTTACTTTGCCAACACTGAAATACAGTGGACATCAGCAGCTGTCAAAAAATATGCACAAAACTAATTCGGAGATTCACAAAGTTTAAGGCCTGAAAGGGACCATTAGATCTTCCAGTCTGACCTCCTGTATAGAGTGGGCCATTACATTTCATCCAGTTAGCTCTATTCTGAGCCCAACAACTTGTCTTTGGCAAAAGCATATCTTTTAGAAAGGCAGCCAGTCTTGATTTGAAGACATCACGGGTATGTCTGCACAGCAGCTTCCCAATACGGGCAGACATACCTGGGTTAAGCCCTGCCTGCTTGAGCTAGCACACTGAAAAGAGCAGTGTGGCCACAATGGCACAGGCAGCAGCTTGGGCCAGCCACCTTAGTACAAACCCGCCCAAACCCCTGGGTGCACGCTCGAGTGGCTGGCCCAAGCTGCTGCCGCCTTTGCCACTGGGGCCACACTGCTATTTTTAGTGCGCTAGCTTAAAAAGCTCTAGAGCATCTATCTCAGGGGTTCTCAGCCTGTGGCCCACTCATCACACAGTTGCAGCCCAAGTGACCATACATGTAGTATATATATTGCGTGTGGATACGGCCCACAAAACATAGCGAGAGCTGCATATCCGGCACACAATCGTAATTAGATTGAGAACCACTGGTTTACCTGCACTGGTGGTGGTGATCATTGCTGAGCCCCACTAGAAACATCCCCATTCAGAGAGGATTCCCCATTGACAGCTGCTTTTTGAAAACTGCTGGTCAATCCATTTAATGTGTTCTTTACTGATACTGTACAATGCTAATCAGAATGTCATGCAATACTAAGAAAAGCCTCTTATAAAGTATTTCATATATTACAGCTATGAATTGATGCCAGTCAATATGGCTTCATTATATTCCCGTCCCTAAACTCTCTATTAATGAAATCTCAACTCAGCTGTTCCATTATTTTGCCTGGGATTGATATCCAGGCTAACCAGCCTCATTACTCTCATAATCCAGCTGGCTTTTTTTTTTTTTTTAAATATTGGCATATCATTAGTTGGATTAAGCTATAAAGGTGAAAGAGCTGTTTTGGTGGTATAAGCTGCATCCACACTAGGAGCACTCTGCCAGTACAGTATACCAGGACAGCTATCATATAGGTAGAATACTGGTATAGCTATACAGGCAAACATTCCTTGTTTACCCTTGGCCTAGGCAATTGCCAACTTCCATTCCAGTGGCATATTCATCTTTACCCATCCAAACTAGAGTTCCCCAGTGTTGGAAGCAATACCCTTTGTGTTAGAAAATTATCTTCTATCATTTTAAGACTCTAATGATGTTTTTCTACAGGCTGCAGAAGACCCCCAGCATGCATCCCCCAAACTAAGGTCCCTCAAAACAACACAATTTCTGTCTTAACACATTACAGATCGGTGTTTTGGGAGTACCTCATCCTCTTCTCTGGTTTGATTTGGGGGTTTGTAACAGAGCCCCACCATTCACCCTTCTGGGCTTTGTTAGTCGGCGCATTGATCCATGTACATTCAAGTCCCTGCACTTCTGAGTTCCCAATAAATCTAAAACAGGTAATCGTGTCTAATGCAGAGTGCCCCGCTACACGCTCTTATTTTAACCACTTGGTCCTTCTTGAACAGGTGATAAGCAGTGATTTTAACATTCCAATCATGTGAATCATCCCATCAGGTTTCAGGAATGCCAATTATATCACATTTCTCCTCAATGAAAATTCCCAATTGCTTTTGCTTGCTACCTGGACTCCAAGCATTGGTATATAAGCAACTAAACATTTCTTCTCCTCATATTTGAGGCACACAATCCCCATCAGAAACATTCCCAGCTAGGGCTGAAAGTTTCTTCCCATTTCCCCTCAGCATATTTGAGCACTGCAGAAGGATGTTAGGGACTGCAGCACAGACAGTACCCAAAACACACAGCGAGACGAAATGGCAGCTTCAGAACTGAATTGGCTGGGAACATGTTGGCTTCTCACAGCCTTAGTGATGTTTGCAACGTGGATGCATTTGCTATGTTTTCACGCTGATGAAATACCTTGCATTAGTCTGTACCTTATTCATAAGCCAGCATACCATCAGGGTTCCCTACTGCCAGGGGACAGAAGGGATGAAAAGCAATAGCAGAGGTGTGAATCCCCTGTGGTTCAGTAAAGTTCTGCCCCTTAGCCTACCTGTGTGAGGGTTGATTGCAGTTAGTAACTCTGGGTTCCCAATGACAAGACAGCCCGGTGACTGAGCCCCACCCAGCTGCTCAATGGCGCACTCCATCCACAGGAGGTCTTCAGTGACAGGCCTCTCCCAGAGCGTGCTGCCGTTGGTGCCCGAGACAGCAGCAACAAAGGCACATGGAGCGGAAAGGCCTGAAGAAAGAACACATTGCAGAGGGAAGAGTACTGTCCTCCCTTCTACCTGTCCGTGCACACAACCAGTTCAGTGGGGTAACTTGTCCCCCCACCTCCTGTCCCCACATGGCCAGTGCTAATGTTTCCCCTTTATATTCACACTGTCTCTCTCAATTCTCCCTTTTTCTCCTGGCTTGGTGAATAGTGGTTCCTGCTTCGGGACTCAAAGATAGCAGCGGGGCTAGACACGTGCTGCACAGACATCGAATGCTAGATCCTTGGGAGATTTATTCCTCATCTCTGGTGAGGACAACTCCATCCACCCAAGGGGTCTCTGTCATCGCAGCATTACTAACCAGCACTAAAAGAGAAAGCACACCCCATACCACTATGCCTCTGTCTGTTCCTGCTTAGAGTCACAGTTACCTTCATCTGAGCAGGATCTGTTAAAACTGCTGCTGCCATTGGTATCTTTGAAAACGAAGATAACATCTTGTACTTTGTCTTCGTTCACATCTTCTACAGCCAGAAACTTGTAGGTCACTGCAGAGAGATCACAAACCGGATGCTAGAGAGCAGCGCTTGGATCAACAGGATTGAAGGGTACAGTGACAACGCAGGTAAACTGGAGGAAAATGCATTTTCTTAAAAGCACGATTGCTGCCCCCTTCCTTTTTCTTTGGGAAAGCAATGCCAAGATAGATTAGCACTTCATTTATACTAGTGTTTGAACAGAGCCTAGCACAGGGGGATCTCTGGTCTCGGATCAGGATCCCTAGGAGCTACCATAAAAATACAACAACAACAGTTGTATCCAACAGTAAATATTAGGAAATCTTATGCAGTTAGGGGAGTCAAACAGTTGAGAATTTGATAATCTCTGAAAGTGCGCTAATGTAATACACTGATTTGGTCATGCAATTGTCGCTCTCTAATGGCTGGCACTTGTGGATATAACAGCCTAGTACTAGCTCTCAGTCAATGGAGCTCTCCTTTAGCGCAAAGGGTAGAGGCCAGTGTTTATACGGAAGCACTGCATTTGATCCCCTGCTGATGTGCGTGATGTCTGTGAATTGTGGCCATGGTTTGTTAAGCTAGGAACACACAAGACAGAAGAACTGCTCCTCCCCTTAAACTGAAGGAGGAGGATTAAAGTGGCATAGTAAATTGTGAGGGCAGAGAGGGATGTAGTGTCAAAGGTCTGGCATGCAGTGGAGCTCTACCTAGCTTTTCACAGAAGAGCTCAATAAAAGGACATTTTTCTTCGGAATTAAGTGTGAGAGTAATTTACAAGACACGATTCTCTCCCTTCACTAATCCAATGATGGTAAGATAGAGGTACTCATTTCTGATGGAGGCAGGACCCCGTTACTGCTCTTAAGTCTCAGGTCAAAGGCACTTAAAGAACATTTTAAGTTAAAGTTCAACCACAATAAAGGGCAATTCTGTAAAAACATCCTCTCAAGCTTTGCCCAACTGAGGGCCAATCTGCTACCTTTCCAGTGCTTGAGGGCAGCACTAATTTGCCTATGTATAAAAGATTTCAAACACCTACCAGAAGGCCACTCCAATTAAGATAGGGGGCCACTGCATATCAAAACCTGGGATACCTGCAGCTCACACTCTCATGGGCAACGTCCCTGCAGGCCCTAGACTGAGGCTACACCAGGGTTGGCCAGGGTTCTACAATCCTGACTATGATGAGCACCGGGAAATGAGCGTTTAGAAATACTGTTTAGTACATCAGACTCACCCGCACGGTCATATTTCCTGTTCCACGTCCTTTGTGAAACAGGCCTCACTGGACACGGGATGATGAACGAAAAGGCAAACACCACAATCAGGCACAGGAATAATGAAAGGAAGAAGGCAGCAGTGCGCCATCGGGAGAGCTGAGACAAGCGGGTGGGCTTCCTGCAGAGAGCTTCTTTTTCTGCACAGTTCTCGTGGTTATCTGGAGCTTTCCCATCCTCATTCTTCAGAGGGTGGATCTCTGCTTCCAAGTTCTTGTTATCCATCACAGGATACTCATCAGAATTCATCAGACAATTTGTGTCACCTGAAGTAACAAAAAGGACGGTGTTACAATAGACTTTGGAATAGATCAAACAAAGCAAGGTACAGAATATTCAGTCACTACCTCAGAGCTTCGGATTGGAAAGCACTGAGTTATTAACAATGGCACAGCAGGAAAAAAACCCTCTAGGTGTTAAATAGGAGCTAAGCAAATAATATCACATGGCCTCAGCACAGCTTCATGTGAAACAGGAAACAACAACCGGTATTAGAAGATTCCCACGCTGCAAGAAGGGGAGAAAATGTGGATGAAGAAATATAGCTCTGTTGACATTCACCTGCAAAAAATCAGTTCTCAGGCTGAATACAGCTGGAATAGGGAAGATAAAGAAGGGCCACAAGCTCTTCAGTATTCTAGACTGGAGGGTCCTGACCTGGTCTGTAGGTCACCTTTGGCAAAAAGCATGCACTGAAAGTTTCTTTCACTGGCACACTGATCCTTGCCGTTTAAGATAGATTTCAGTAGAATCCCAGGACCATATAGGTGGAGGGAGACTGTGAGCTTCATATGCTGATACAAATCAGAAAGTCATTCCCTAGTGTACTGGACTAACAGGAGTTTCCTTAGGAGAGAGAAAAGCAAACATGGAGACATTCTACACAGGAGCTAAACAAACCCATTAACCCCCGTCTCTGAGAAACCAAAGTGCACCCGACACCGCTACACATCAGTTCCAGCCTCAGGCAGGAAAGCAATAGGGTGGGCTAATGCACTGCAGCATCTAGGGATGAAGACTCCTTCCCAGAATAAAATGAAAAGAAGGAGCTTAAACTAGAGTCAGCCAAGTAATATTTGTGATGCTTTTCTATCAGCAGTTGAATAAATTACTCAGGCATTAATTTTCTCCCTTATTCATCCAGTTTTATAGATAGTCAAACAGTATTTGTCAAAGACATTACTTTCTTCCTGACAATCAGCAAATAATGTATAACTAGTACCCTGTTAGTTGGACAGCTTTACGGAAAGCCTCTCTTTTACACATGGCAGAAGAGAGCAGGCAGTGCCTTGATGGCATTACCACTCTCGCTCCAGGGAGCGAAGGGAATGCCTGGCTTTATGTCTGCACTGCAAAGTGCAGGACCCGAAGAGCACTAGACCCTTACTTGTGAGCTTCCTATCTTGTGAGTTCACAATCCCATGACTCTGATCAGCGAGTCCCAACCCGCAGCAAAAAGCGAGGATCATAAGGGAAATAAATGAAAAATAGTAGATACAGACAAAAATTAGCTGGGTAAACACCTTTCTTTGGGTCTACCAAAGCACCTTTTGTTTCTATGTCTGCTAAAACCAAGTCACATTCATGAGCCCAGTACAACTCATGTGTCACGTAAGCAAATAATCAGGTTGGTTTGCTGGTTAATTTATTCTAAAAGCCACAAATAGCACCTTTAAATAAATCAGGCATGTTACAGAAACCCAGAGCTTAAAACCTACAATCATCATAAAAATCAACTTTACACCAGGTTAGTTTTCAGGCCTCATTAAACTGTTAGGGAAAAGAGAAGCAAAGAATGAAAAATACAATGTTCCAATGGCCTTGGACAAAAGCTGCATGACAGCTTGTCATAAAAGTTTATTTAAGAGCCAATAAACATGATGACAAAGCCAATTTTCCGGAGCCATGCCCTGAACAGTCACATGCCCAAATTCTGACTGAATAATTTACCTCTCCAGGAGTCTCAGCAGCAGGTCTCATAGACTTTAAGATCAGAAGGGACCATTATGATCATTTCGTCTGACATCCTGCCCATTGCAGGCCACAGAACCTCACCCACCCACTCCTGTAATAGACGCATGACTAAGGCTATGATTTTGGCACGGGTATTTTTTATTAAAAGCCGTAGACAGGACGCAGGCAATAAACAATAAATCATGGAAATGTGCACAAAGCTGAAGCCCGAGCCCCACACCCGGAGCTAATGCCCGAGTCCTGCCATCTGTAACCTTGCTTCGCAGGGCCCCCTGTGGCTTGGGGCCCCAGGCAATTGCCCTGCTTGCTACCCCTTAACGCAGGCCTGGCAACAATGGTGCAAGAAATGGGATTTTTGACACGTGCTGTACTGCAAATATTAAAGGAAATAAGTGATTTCTCGTTTTCTCTCAAATCTAACACTTTCATTGGAATTTTCAAGAACACAAAAACGTCTCTTAAAATCATGGAATCTTTGACCTCCGTGACAGAATCATAGCCTTATGCATAACCTCTGGCTGAGTTACTGAAGGCCTGATAGCTCAGTGGTTTGAGCATTGGCCTGCTAAACCCAAGGTTGTGAGTTCAATCCTTGAGGGGGCCATTTAGGAATCTGGGGCAAAAATTGGGGATTGGCCCTGCTTTAAGCAGGGGGTTGGACTAGATGACCTCCTGAGGTCCCTTCCAACCCCAATATTCTATGAATAACAAAAAGCACCAAATTTAGTGTAAAGGCTCTATCTAGTTCGGGGGGAGGGATAGCTCAGTGGTTTGAGCATTGGCCTGCTAAACCCAGGGTTGTGAGTTCAATCCTTGAGGGGGCCATTTAGGGATCTGGGCCAAAAATTGGGGATTGGTCCTGCTTTGAGCAGGGGGTTGGACTAGATGACCTCCTGAGGTCTCTTCCAACCCTGATATTCTATGATTCTATGATATCAAATCACGATTTAAAGACTTCAAGTTAGAGAATCCATCATTCACACTAGTTTAAACCGGCAAGTGACCCATGCACCAAGCTGCAGAGGAAGGTGAAACCCTTCCAGGGTCTCTGCCAATCTGACCAGGGACAAAATTCCTTCGTAACTGGACTGGCCCAGTCCTAAGGGGCCCGGGCCTACCACCCACCAGATCGCGGCCAGGGCTAGGCCACACCACACATGCTGAGGGACCTTTTTGCCCTGGACCCAAACTGGGGCCTGGCCCCCCTCAGCCTGGCCTGGGGGAAGGGTGGGAGGGAAGACGCTGGCTCTCTCATCAGGCTGCGTCCGCTCTGCCCGTCGGCACTGCCTGGCAGGAGCCTCGGAAAAGCAGGCTCTGGGCGCGCAGCCGCGAGGCAGGAGGAGGGCGGGGGCTCGCGGCAGCCTTCGTTTCCAGAGGGGAAGCCAGTGCCAGCTGAAGCGATGGCGGCCGGAGGCAGTCACGGGTCACGGACGTGGAGGAGGATGCCTCGCAGCTCGTCTTCCCCAAAGAATTTGAAACTGCTGAGACGCTTCTAAATTCAGAAGTGCACATGCTTCTTGAGCATCGTAAACAGAATGAGAGTGCCGAGGATGAGCAGGAGCTCTCGGAAGTCTTCATGAAAACTCTGAACTACACGGCTCGCTTCAGCCGCTTCTAAAACCGGGAGACCATTGCCAGCGTCCACAGTTTGTTGCTCCAGGAAAAGCTCCATAAATTTGAATTGGCATGTTTGGTTAATTTGTGTCCTGAGACAGCTGAGGAGGCCAAGGCTTTGATTCCCAGCCTAGAGGGCCCGTTTGAAGATGAGGAGCTACAGCAGATTCTTGATGACATTCAGACCAAAAGAAGCTTCCAGGACTAGGGCTAATTACCAGCCCTTATTATGAAAAGAAAGATCAGAGAATTTCAAATGTTTCTGTGCACACCAGTCCAATCTAGCTAGCTCCAGGACAGCGTAAAGAGAGTTCTTGATGCACAGTACTTCAGCCTTGGGTCCCGCACAGACATGTTTAAACAGTTGACCACTCTTTGACTTGTTGAATAGTGTAAACTTGACAAAGACTCATTTGCGGTAAGAGCCATGGAATCTTGTAAACTCCTGTCTAGGTGGTTTCGGTACCTGTTTCCCCCATCTCTCCAAATATGGTGATCCGTTAGACCCTGAGCATGTGGGCAAGATTCAGCAGCCAGAGAGAGAGAGAGAGACACACACACACACACACACACACACACGCTCTCTCAGCCACACTTCAGTGTTAAAAGGAAACACACATGGTCATTATGGCCTGAGGCCACAGGTCCTTTGGAGCAGATACTGCATGAACAGAACTGCTTCCTCCCTCAGAGCTGGATCAACTCTTATGCTGCATTTTTTCCATCTGGCAATCGTGAGTAGTAAGAATCCTATGCGCTTAATGGTATGGCATAAAATGATGCCTAGCCCTGCAATGGAAAATCCCAGATAAAAGGTGGAAATAACAGCTTCAAATATCTGATTAAAGAAAAGGAGAATTGAGAAGGCCAGGTTGATCAGGGGCTGTTTGCATCTGGGTTCCATTTTATCCAAACTAGCAAAGTAAAGTGGGTACAAACAAAAAGACAAGCATACCTGAGCATGGGAAGACGTACTGAAACCTAACACAACTCCAGTGCTTCTGGAAGCAAACTGTTTGTCTGAGGTGGAGACAGCTTACCACTCCCTTTCTACCCCCATAAGAGCCATAAGGGAACGGGGAGACTGCAAAGTGGTGACCGAAAACAAAGGGCCTTGAAGCACAGGAATGAGAGCACTGAGAAAACCATGGTGCTACCAGAGCCAGTGGCAGGAGCTCATGTGGACAGCCGGTAGGTGACTCCATAAAGGGAATCAGACTGGCCACCTCACCCATCCACCTACTACATTTTGCTAGATTTATACAAATGTGTTTTAAGCAGCATAAATCCCAGGCAATTTTTTTTAAAGAACATCATTTTGTACAAGAATAGAACTCCAGCAGATATAACTGCCTCTATATCACCACAAAAGTCAGCAATAATTTAAAAACCTTACCTTTTTCTAGAGACCACTGCTCCACAGACCCTGTCTACATCTAGTAAATCAACCTGGCCCAGAAGTCAGAGAAATCTGGGTGGTGGACTAGGGTTGCCAACTTTCTAATCGAACAAAACAAACACTCCTGCCACGCTCCTTCCCCGAGGCCCCGCCCCTTCCCTGAGGCTCTGCCCCCTCTCACTCCATCCCCCTCTCCCTCTGTCACTGGCTCTCCCTCACCCTCACTCACTTTCACTGGTCTGAGGCAGAGGGTTGGGGTGTGAAAGGGGGTGCAAGCTGCAGCTGGGGGTGCAGGCTCTGGGGTGAGGTTGGAGATCAGGGATTTGGATGCAGAGGGCTATGGTCTCTGGACTGGGGGGTGCAGGCTCCAGGTGGGGCCAGAAATGAGGGGATTAGGGTGTGGGAGAGGGCTCTGGGCTGGAGCAGGGGGTGGGATGCAGGAGGTGTGCAGCCTCTGGCTAGGATGTAGGTTCTGGGGTAGGGCCAGGGATGAGGGGTTTAGGGTACAGGAGGGGGCTCTGGGCTGGGGCATAGGGTTGGGGTGTGGGAGGGAACATGGGGTCCCAGCAGCACTTACCGTAGCTCCCAGGAAGCAGCTGCTATGTCCCTGCACCCGTAGGCACATGGGCGGCCAAGGAGGCTCCGTGTGCTGCCTGCGCCCTGAGTGCCAGGTAAGCAGGTCCCATTGGCCAGGAACCATGAGAGTCTGTCTTAGCCCCAGGTCCCTGCTGCGTCTCCAACCGGACTTTTAACTTTTCAACTGGGTGTTCTGTTCAAAAACCAGAGGCCTGGCAATCCTATGGCGGACGCAACTTGCTTCCTTGTGACACTTGGTGCTACACATCCACCAGCTCTGCTGGTCAGAAACTTGACATGGGACGAGTCAATGCTAGGAAGCATTCCAACTAGGAATGGAACAGAGGAAGGAATGGTCTTGCATATAGATTTCCCACTCAGATTTGGCCATTTTGCTTTCTCCTCCTTGACTACATGGCTGAGCAAGTGAACCAGGTATCATTTAGTTCTTGTAGCAGGAGGTCCTGGCAATACAGACAATATGGCACTGGTAAGCACCATGAAGGGAGCCCTGAGCACCACGACAGGTTCTTGGGATGATTCCCTAGCCATAGGCTGAGCATCCAAGTAGTGCTGCTCATTGCTACATTAAGCATCAACTGGAAGCCCCAGGGTAGCTCAGCCCAGCATTTCTGTACTAGGAGCTGTACCTTTATGCTCCACCTATAAAGCTAGAGCACCTTCTGACATACAATAGAATGCACTCATCACCCCTAATAAAATTAATTAAACACTCCCTCTATCCTACCACAACAGCAGGAAAGTAGATTCTCCACTGGGCTTGGTTTGATGACGACGACAACGCCTCAAACCTTTCTGTGAGAAGTTATTTTTATAATGCAATACAAATCACTTCAAAGTCATTAAAGGTGGACAAGGGTAATAAATTCAGGTGTAATTATACTGACAATCTCAGCAAATTTCCCTTCATTTGCAACAATGACTAAGTCAAAAACATGACCCACAGCATTTGTTTCTCTATTTGGGCAGTACTCAAAGCAGGTCTACACTACAGATTTGCAGCTGCACTGCTGTAGTGCTTCTAGTGAAGATGCTCTACTTCTCCCTCTCCCTCACAAGGGTCATCAGCTCATTGGCCGCAGGGAGGGAGAGGAGATGGGGTAGGAACCCAGCACACTAGGGGAAGAGGCAGGGGAGGGGGGAGCTTGCCTGCCCTGCAGCAGTGGCCAGCAGGACCAAGCTTCTTCACCCTGCCCCCGCAAGGGGACACGGGGGGTGGAGAAGAGCGGGCCAGGGCGGGCAGGATTTTTAATGGCACGCTGCTGCCTGCTGGGGTCCCGCCCACTGGCCCCGCTCAGCCCGCTGCCAGCCTGGGTTTGCCAGCGGGCTGAGCGGGGCCAGCAGCTGGGACCCGGCAGGCAGCAGCGTGCCATTAAAAATTGGCTCGTGTGCTGTCTTTGGCACGCGTGCCATAGGTTGCCAACCCCTGCTCTAAGCCAATGAGAGAGCGCTCTCCTGCTGACATAATGCTGTCTACACCAGCACGTAGATGCGAGTCCAGCTTTACGCTACAGACTTATATTGGTATAACTACGTCGCTCAGGGGTGTGGATCATTCATGCATCCGACAAAGTGGGTATTCACCCATGAAAGCTTATGCTCCAATACGTCTTTTAGTCTATAAAGTGCCACAGGACTCTTTGCTGCTTTTACAGATCCAAACTAACACGCCTACCCCTCTGACAGTTATACCGAAGTAATTCTGTAGTGCAGACCAGGCCTAAGGGCTCATCTTCACATACAGCACTACAATGATGCAGCTGTGCTGCCTTAGTCCTTTAGTGAAGATGCTCCTACACTGATGGGAGAGCTTCTCCCATCGGCGTAGTAAATCCACCTCCCTAAGAGGCGGTAGCTGTGCCGACGGGAAAAGCTTTCCTGCCGACCTCGCGCTGTCTACATTGGGTGGGGGGGGTTGGGTTAGGTAGGTATAACTACGTGGCTCAGGCGTGTGAATAATCCACACCCCTGAGTGACACAGTTATACTGATATAGGTCTGTCGTGCAGGCCTGGCCTCACACCACTGGAGTAAAGGGAGGGTTGGAGTGCCCATTCGGAAATCCAGTCTGCAGGTGATTCAAATGCAACTGGAAAGCTCAGACCCTGAAAATAGCAAAGAACAGCCCAGCCCTACCCCAAACTGTTTGTTCTTTGAATCACAAAGAAATCTGGTAATTAGTTTTCCTTTGTCTCCAAATAAAAAATAGCTCCACTTTCAGATGTTCTCTCTGGTCTTTTAGCAGCTGATGTTTTCTCTGCCAGTAGTATAGAACACAGGTTACTCCCATTTGTTAAATTAATCCAAAACAGGTGTTCAAATCTGGTTAAGTATGCAATTATGTAATTAAACTCAGCTGTGTAATCAGCATCTTAACTCCCACTGACTCAGACTCACTGCTGAAAAGTGGTTCCCTATTTGAAAAATAATTCACATGTTATACTTTGGAGTCACAGCAAGTAATATGTACCAAAAGCTTGAATGAACAGCAGCTGTTGGACTGTCACCACTTTATATCCTAAAGTGGACTCTCAGCCCAGAGGAGCCCCAGACTAGTTCAAGTGGTGCAGGCACGGAAGAGGAAAGTTTCATGGCCTTGCAGTCATAAGATCCCCTACTGCACGTACGCTTCTTCTCCTGCGGGTAGTGACACGATGGCAACTGCATAGAGCATGGCACAATGGGTGGGACAGGCACCTACAAATCCACACATCCCAAGGAGGGCTCCCAGGCAATACTGCTAAGGAACTGGTTCCCAGCCTAGGATTTCACACACATATTTAGTCCACATTACAAACTGACCACCTTCAAACTTCTAAGACTATTCTTCTTTTCAGTGGAAATAAAAAGATTAGAATCAGTCACAGGTCAAAGTGAAGAGCATGGAATGGAACCTGCAAAGCAACCTCTGATGGCCCTACCTTTTGCTAGGGAATGCCCAATTTTCAAATATCAGCACACAACAGCGTATGCTTTCCATACAACAGGGTAGGTTGCCAGTGTTGCAGCCAGAAGACACATGCACTCACCACTGTGGGATTTTACTCTACCCTCTGCTGCAGCTGCACTCCTGTGATGTAAATATGAATGAAACATGCCATTTAAATCACTAAAATGTTTACAATTAACTCTCTGCCTTTCATCAGTTCATCCCCCACCTTCTCTCCAGGTTTTCTTCCCTTTTCTCCCTTTAGCTTTTAAGAAAGAAATGTACCACTAAATTTCAAGAATGAATAATAACTCACCCTGTACTTGGTATAGCTACCCTCCAAGCTTCTCCTTTCAGCCCTGGTCTACACTAGGACTTTAGGTCGAATTTAGCAGCGTTAAATCGAGGTAAACCTGCACCCGTCCACACAATGAAGCCCTTTATTTCGACTTAAAGGGCTCTTAAAATCGATTTCCTTACTCCACCCCTGACAAGTGGATTAGCGCTTAAATCGACGTTGCCAGCTCGAATTTGGGGTACTGTGGACACAATTCAACGGTATTGGCCTCCGGGAGCTATCCCAGAGTGCTCCATTGTGACCGCTCTGGACAGCACTCTCAACTCAGATGCACTGGCCAGGTAGACAGGAAAAGAACCGCAAACTTTTGAATCTCATTTCCTGTTTGGCCAGCGTGGCAAGCTGCAGGTGACCATGCAGAGCTCATCAGCACAGGTGACCATGATGGAGTCCCAGAATCGCAAAAGAGCTCCAGCATGGACCGAACGGGAGGTACGGGATCTGATCACTGTTTGGGGAGAGGAATCCGTGCTATCAGAACTCCGTTCCAGTTTTCGAAATGCCAAAACCTTTGTGAAAATCTCCCAGGGCATGAAGGACAGAGGCCATAACAGGGACCCAAAGCAGTGCTGCGTGAAACTGAAGGAGCTGAGGCAAGCCTACCAGAAAACCAGAGAAGCGAACAGCCGCTCTGGGTCAGAGCCCCAAACATGCCGCTTCTATGATGAGCTGCATGCCATTTTAGGGGGTTCAGCCACCACTACCCCAGCCGTGTTGTTTGACTCCTTCAATGGAGATGGAGGCAATACGGAAGCAGGTTTTGGGGACGAAGAAGATGATGATGAGGAGGAGGTTGTAGATAGCTCACAGCAAGCAAGCGGAGAAACCGGTTTTCCCGACAGCCAGGAACTGTTTCTCACCCTAGACCTGGAGCCAGTACCCCCCGAACCCACCCAAGGCTGCCTCCTGGACCCAGCAGGCAGAGAAGGGACCTCTGGTGAGTGTACCTTTTAAAATACTATACATGGTTTAAAAGCAAGCATGTGAAAGGATTACTTTGCCCTGGCATTTGCGGTTCTCCTAGATGTAGTCCTAAAGCCTTTGCAAAAGGTTTCTGGGGAGGGCAGCCTTATTGCGTCCTTCATGGTAGGACACTTTACCACTCCAGGCCAGTAACACGTACTCAGGAATCATTGTACAACAAAGCATTGCAGTGTATGTTTGCTGGCGTTCAAACAACATCTGTTCTTTATCTCTCTGTGTTATCCTCAGGAGAGTGAGATATAATTCATGGTCACCTGGTTGAAATAGAGTGCTTTTCTTCAGGGGACACTCAGAGGAGCCCATTCCTGCTGGGCTGTTTGCCTGTGGCTAAACAGAAATGTTCCCCGCTGTTAGCCACAGGGAGGGGGGAAGGTTGAGGGGGTAGTCACGCGGTGGGAGGAGGCAAAATGCGACCTTGTAACGAAAGCACATGTGCTATGTATGTAATGTTAACAGCAAGGTTTACCCTGAAAGAGTGTAGCCACTGTTTTATAAAATGTGTCTTTTTAAATACCGCTGTCCCTTTTTTTTTTCTCCACCAGCTGCATGTGTTTCAATGATCACAGGATCTTCTCCTTCCCAGAGGCTAGTGAAGCTTAGAAAGAAAAAAAAACGCACTCGCGATGAAATGTTCTCCGAGCTCATGCTGTCCTCCCACACTGACAGAGCACAGACGAATGCGTGGAGGCAAATAATGTCAGAGTGCAGGAAAGCACAAAATGACCGGGAGGAGAGGTGGCGGGCTGAAGAGAGTAAGTGGCGGGCTGAAGAGAGGGCTGAAGCTCAAATGTGGCGGCAGCGTGATGAGAGGAGGCAGGATTCAATGCTGAGGCTGCTGCAGGACCAAACCAGTATGCTCCAGTGTATGGTTGAGCTGCAGCAAAGGCAGCTGGAGCACAGACTGCCACTGCAGCCCCTCTGTAACCAACCGCCCTCCTCCCCAAGTTCCATAGCCTCCACACCCAGATGCCCAAGAACGCGGTGGGGGGGCCTCCGGCCAACCAGCCACTCCACCACAGAGGATTGCCCCAAAAAAAGAAGGCTGTCATTCAATAAATTTTAAAGTTGTAAACTTTTAAAGTGCTGTGCTTAAAGTGCTGTGTGGCATTTTCCTTCCCTCCTCCACCACCCCTCCTGGGCTACCTTGGTAGTCATCCCCCTATTTGTGTGATGAATGAATAAAGAATGCATGAATGTGAAGCAACAATGACTTTATTGCCTCTGCAAGCGGTGATTGAAGGGAGGAGGGGCGGGTGGTTAGCTTACAGGGAAGTAGAGTGAACCAAGGGGCGGGGGGTTTCATCAAGGAGAAACAAACAGAACTTTCACACCGTAGCCTGGCCAGTCATGAAACTGGTTTTCAAAGCTTCTCTGATGCGTACCGCGCCCTCCTGTGCTTTTCTAACCGCCCTGGTGTCTGGCTGCGCGTAACCAGCAGCCAGGCGATTTGCCTCAACCTCCCACCCCGCCATAAACGTCTCCCCCTTACTCTCACAGATATTGTGGAGCACACAGCAAGCAGTAATAACAGTGGGAATATTGGTTTCGCTGAGGTCTAAGCGAGTCAGTAAACTGCGCCAGCGCGCCTTTAAACGTCCAAATGCACATTCTACCACCATTCTGCACTTGCTCAGCCTGTAATTGAACAGCTCCTGACTACTGTCCAGGCTGCCTGCGTACAGCTTCATGAGCCATGGCATTAAGGGGTAGGCTGGGTCCCCAAGGATACATATAGGCATTTCAACATCCCCAACAGTTATTTTCTGGTCTGGGAATAAAGTCCCTTCCTGCAGCTTTTGAAACAGACCAGAGTTCCTGAAGATGCGAGCATCATGCACCTTTCCCGGCCATCCCACGTTAATGTTGGTGAAACGTCCCTTGTGATCCACCAGAGCTTGCAGCACTATCGAAAAGTACCCCTTGCGGTTTATGTACTCGGCGGCTTGGTGCTCCGGTGCCAAGATAGGGATATGGGTTCCGTCTATAGCCCCACCACAGTTAGGGAATCCCATTGCAGCAAAGCCATCCACTATGACCTGCACATTTCCCAGGGTCACTACCCTTGATATCAGCAGATCTTTGATTGCGTGGGCTACTTGCATCACAGCAGCCCCCACAGTAGATTTGCCCACTCCAAATTGATTCCCAACTGACCGGTAGCTGTCTGGCATTGCAAGCTTCCACAGGGCTATCGCCACTTGCTTCTCAACTGTGAGGGCTGCTCTCATCTTGGTATTCATGCGTCTCAGGGCAGGGGAAAGCAAGTCACAAAGTTCCATGAAAGTGCCCTTACGCATGTGAAAGTTTCGCAGCCACTGGGAATCGTCCCAGACCTGCAACACTATGCGGTCCCACCAGTCTGTGCTTGTTTCCAGAGCCCAGAATCGGCGTTCCACAGCATGAACCTGCCCCATTAGCACCATGATGCATGCATTGGCAGGGCCCATGCTTTCAGAGAAATCTGTGTCCATGTCCTGATCACTCACGTGACCGCGCTGACGTCGCCTCCTCGCCCGGTATCGCTTTGCCAGGTTCTGGTGCTGCATATACTGCTGGATAATGCGTGTGGTGTTTAATGTGCTCCTAATTGCCAAAGTGAGCTGAGCGGCCTCCATGCTTGCCTTGGTATGGCGTCTGCACAGAAAAAAGGCGCGGAACGATTGTCTGCCGTTGCTCTGACGGAGGGAGGGGCGACTGACGACACGGCTTACAGGGTTGGCTTCAGGGAGCTAAAATCAACAAAGGGGGTGCCTGTACATCAAGGAGTATTTCAGGCAGGACTTCACGGAGGGTTCCAATAAGAAATGGTGCACCTAAGTTATTGTTCTTATTGGAACAAGGAGGTTAGCCTGGCCTCTGACTGATACATGCCTAGATTTACCTCGCTGCACCTTCTCTGTGAGTGACTGCAGTGTGACCTAGAGGAATGAGTCCCCTAGACAGGGGAGGAGGCAAATGAGTACAAAACAAATCTGGTCTATTTCTTGTTTTGATCCACTCCATCTATCTTTTACATCTTTGGCTGGCAGCAGACGGTGCAGAAGGACTGCATGCCATCCACATCTCATGGCTGCTCGGCAGAAGATGGTACAGTACGACTGCTAGCCATCCCCATCTCTTGCCTGCCTGGCAGAAGATGGTACAATACGACTGCTAGCAATCCTCATCTCTTGCCTGCCTGGCAGAAGATGGTACAGTACGACTGCTAGCAGTCCGTATCGCCTGCCCGCTCACCATAAGACGGTTCAATAGGACTGACTGCAGGACTAAAGAGAATGACCTGGTCAAGTCACTCCAAATTTAGTCCCTGCGCCCATGTCTGCCCAGGCGCTCCCAGCCGACGTGGCCAGGAGCACCTCGGACACGACGAGGACGACTACCAATCGTATTGCACCGTCTGCTGCCAGAAGGCAATGGGTTGCTGCTACTGTGCAGCAAAGCCATACCGCGTCTGCCAGCACCCAGGAGACATAGGGTGACGGTTACCTGAGCGGGCTCCATGATTGCCGTGGTATGGCGTCTGCACAGGTAACTCAGGAAAAAAGGCGCGAAATGATTGTCTGCCCTTGCTTTCACGGAGGGAGGGAGGGAACGGGGGCCTGACGATACGTACCCAGAACCACCCGCGACAATGTTTTAGCCCCATCAGAGTGCTCCATTGTGACTGCTCTGGACAGCACTCTCAGATGCCCGATTGTTTGCCGTTGCTCTGATGCCGGGAGGGGCGCTTACAGGGTTGGCTTCAGGGAGCTAAAATCAACAAAGGGGGTGGCTTTACATCTAGGAGTATTTCAGGCAGGACTTCACGGAGGGTTCCAATAAAAAATGGTGCACCTAAGTTATTGTCCTTATTGGAACAAGAAGGTTAGCCTGGCCTCTGATTGATACATGGCTAGATTTACCTTGCTGCACCTTCTCTGTGAGTGACTGCAGTGTGATCTAGAGGAATGAGTCCCCTAGACAGGGGAGGAGGCAAATGAGTACAAAACAAATCTGGTCTATTTCTTGTTTTGATCCACTCCATCTATCTTTTACATCTTTGGCTGGCAGCAGACGGTGCAGAAGGACTGCATGCCATCCACATCTCATGGCTGCTCGGCAGAAGATGGTACAGTACGACTGCTAGCAGTCCGTATCGCCTGCCCGCTCACCATAAGACGGTTCAATAGGACTGACTGCAGGCAGGACTAAAGAGAATGACCTGGTCAAGTCACTCCAAATTTAGTCCCTGCACCCATGTCTGCCCAGGCGCTCCCAGCCGACGTGGCCAGGAGCACCTCGGACATGACGATGACGGCTACCAGTCGTACTGTACCGTCTGCTGCCACAAGGCAAGGGGTTGCTGCTACTGTGTAGCAATGCCGTACTGCGTCTGCCAGCACCCAGAAGACATAGGGTGACGGTTACCTGAGCGGGCTCCATGCTTGCAGTGGTATGGCGTCTGCACAGGTAACTCAGGAAAAAAGGCGCGAAATGATTGTCTGCCCTTGCTTTCACGGAGGGAGGGAGGGAACGGGGGCCTGACGATATGTACCCAGAACCACCCGCGACAATGTTTTAGCCCCATCAGGCATTGGGATCTCAACCCAGAATTCCAATGGGCAGCGGAGACTGCGGGAACTGTGGGATAGCTACCCACAGTGCAACGCTCCGGAAGTCGACTCTAGCCTCGGTACTGTGGAAGCGCTCCGCCGAGTTAATGCACTTAATGCACTTAGAGCATTTTCTGTGGGGACACACACACTCGAATATATAAAACCGATTTCTAAAAAACCGACTTCTATAAATTCGACCTTATTCCGTAGTGTAGACATACCCTCAAATTACCTGTAGAGCAACTGTTGAGCTCAAACCTCTCACTTGTTCTCATGTCACTCTGGTAGATGGATTAGCTCACTTTCCATGGTCTGAAACACTGAACCATCATGCCTCTGCCTACAGTAATATCCCACATGAATCGAGTTTTGCCTCTTCCCTGAACAATGCATCATAGCAAGTAACTTTTTCAAGATCCGAGGCTCAAGTACAGTTTGTTTACTTCTTTCCCAGATGGAGAAATCTGTCTGAAACACAACTTGCCATTTGAGGAACTATACACAGCGTTTTCACATACCTTAAGGGTGAAAAATTTCTGTATGCCAGACAAAATGTTTGAAACTACAGAACGTGATTGACAGGATGAAGAAATAGACAGCTTCCACAAACTGTTCTCTGTGTAAAAAAAGTTACATTCTCTCAAGCAGCATTTCCTCCCACAACCACCCATGATCTGCTTCCATTTTTGCTGAGGTTTTGCTGCATTATACATGTGTCCATGTGGAACCCCTCTGAACTCACTAGGGACCCATCTGCAGAATCAGAGCCTGACTGGGTCAAATTCTGCCCTGCTGATGTCAATGCTTGGAGAGCACCAAGTATGGCCAACTTGAAATCCGCAAGAAACTTTGCAAAAAATCAAAAATAATTTTTCCTCTCCGAAAAGACAACAAGGTCACTTTGAAACACACACAACACTAGGGCTGTATTAAACTTTTGCTCTGAATAGCTATTTTGGCAAAAGCTTGGAATTTAGCTTCAGCTAAATAATATTTTGAATACAAACCAGAAGCCAAATAGTCACAAGGCAAAACTCCATCGCTGAGGTGTCTGCAGCATGACTAGCTAGCCATTTTAACCCATCTCCCTGCCAGTTATGACGATAGCTCAGGATGGCAAGGAGACACTGCCTCTTTTTGGCCCATCCATGTGGCATGAGTCACTTCTCACCTCCTTATTGTCAGTCTGCATCCAAGTGCCATGTCCATCACCCCCTCACTGGCATTCTGTCTCACCTTCCTTGCAGTATCAGACCACGCCCCAAAGAGAACTCAGGACCTTTGCAGTGCATGAAGCCGTATCTATAGTTGGTCTCCTCTGAGGTTGTTCATTTCTCCTTTTGCCACTGGCACCAAACTTCTCTTGAAAGCAGCACATCTCTCATCCAGGAGACTTATCTTAACCCTCTACTGCAGGTGAACAACATAAATCAGAGAGCATTCACAGCAAGTGCTTTAAGCTTCTCAGAGTGCTAGTCCACTTCATAGAATATCAGGGTTGGAAGGGACCTCAGGAGGTCATCTAGTCCAACCCCCTGCTCAAAGCAGGGCCAATCCCCAACAAAATCATCCCAGCCAGGGCTTTGTCAAGCCTGACCTT